AGAGTCATTATGTCAATTAATGCAATCAATTACTACAGAGAACATGAAATAGTAATGATTTCCTTCCCACCTTACTGCATACATAGGATGCAGCACCTGGACATCCAAGTTTACGGCTCGTTTAAAACTCAGTACAAGCCAGCCCTTAATAGTTAAATTTATTGTACCCTTTGGCAAAGCAATAACGATGTACGACATTGCAAGTTTGATAGTCAAGCCATCTATGCTGCCATTTGTTCCCATTATTATAACAAAGGCTTTCGAAAAAGCCGAAATATGACCAGCAAACAGTCTTAATTTTAAACTTTGAGGGTATACAAGGCAACTATCGATCACGGTGATTAATTTAATCTTGCCCAGGTACTTTCGATCAATAGATCATCTTCAGGGGCATTTCGTCAATTGTGGCCTATCCTGACATAAGTAGAATGTCATAAATGTAAAATTTGGACATAACAATACAAAATACAATACACAAAGACAAACAAACACTTTAAATTTTTTTTTAATTTTTTTTTTAAATTTTTTTTTAAGGAGAAGCTACATGTTGTATAGAAGCCGGAGACAGAAACATTCTTTCTGTCTCCGGCTTCTATACAACATGTAGCTTCTCCTTAAAATTTTAAAGTGTTTATTTGTCTTTGTGTATTGTATTTTGTATTGTTATGTCCAAATTTTACATTTATGACATTCTACTCATGTCAGGATAGGCCACAATTGACGAAATGCCCCTGAAGATGATCTATTGATCGAAAGTATTTGGGCAAGATTAAATTAATCACCGTGTTCGATAGTTGCCTTGTATACCCTCAAAGTTTAATTATTCGAACATTCAACCTTATATTGAGTCTTAATTTTGACGATTCTGATGTTACTGGAGTGCTCACCTATGGACCTTTCATAAGTTTCTTCTTCTTCGCGTGCCATATCAGAATTATCCGACGTTGGCGATCACCAATATTCACCTCGCGATCACATCGTCGATACCACCGACGATGGCAATAATTGTCCTGCATTTGATACCTGAGTCCATTCACGAATGTTTTTTTAACCAAGAAACTTGTTTTCTTCCTACACCTCTACGGTGCTCTATTTTGCCTTTAAGGATCAACGGTTGTGATATTACGGTTGTAATATTTTATATCGACTTCCCCTTACCATATGTCCCAGATAAGACATTTTTCGATGTTTAACAGTCTTTAGCAGTTCTCTATCTTTGTTGACGCTCTTTAGTACTTCTTCATTAGTTTTCCTTGCTGTCCAAGGTTTCTTCAGCATTCGTCTATGAACCCACATTTCCAATGCTTCAATTTTGTTCATGATCGATAATTTTAGCGTCCACACTTTAGCACTATACAAAAGTACGTACCAAACATAGCACTTAATCATTCCTTGTCTTAGTTCTAAACTGAGGTGCTTATTGCAAAGAAATGACTTTATTTTCATAAAAATAGTTTTAATCATTGCTATTTTACGTTTTAGTTCTATGTCTGGATCTAGTTGGTCTGTTATCGTAGTTGACAAATATGTCATTTTGTGAACTTTCTCAACTTGGACTCCGTTTAATTAAACCTTTGCATCGGGATGTAGGTCACATCATCGCTATGATAGGCTATGATAATACTTAACTGCAATAAAAAAGTCAATTACGTAGACGATATAGCACGGAGACATATTTAAAAAAATCTTGGATTGGTTTTAGTGAAACCACATATTGAGCTCTGTTAGACCACTTAGTCGTGAATTAAGAGATATAATAATAAAACTTGGTAGTACTTCACTTCCTGCACCCTCTGTTGAACCTAAACTGGTCAGAAAATTAAAATGTCACCAAAATTTTTATTGTTTAGATCACTTCATCACATTTGCGACGAATGTATCCAGTTCTGGGACTCCTAACTTTTTCTAAGCTTGGATATCTAATGTCCTGCTTTTTTATACTTTTAACTTTTTTAACTTTTTTGGAAAATATCTTACTTTGAATCATTATCTTTTGTTTGTGAATTTTTTATGTACCTAGTGTTTTATTTTTGTAGGAATTTTATTATTTTGTAAATTTTACATAATTTACAATTTAATACAGTGGTAAAACTGCTGTTATTTATGAAAATTTAGATAGTCAAAAATAAGATATTTAAATAAATAAATTCGTGTTCGAAATGTTTGTTGAGTTTTTACAATCAATTTTAAATGGGGTCAACAATAATACCCCACTTGGGTTATTATACACACAAATTAAAGAAAAAAAATATTGCTTACAAATTAAAATATAATAATGAGTACGCAAAATATGTAGACAAAAAGCTTCCAGTACAAAAAGAAATTAATTTACAATGAAAAGATGCTGCTGAGGAATATCTACGTAAAAAAATTTTACAGTAGTTTCTTTGTACATAAGTAAGTTTTTTATGTTGTCATAAACACATGTACGCCTATGTGTATGTGTACTGAATTAAACTTTAAAATAAGTGATTATTGTGCCATTACTCTGCAAGTTATTAAACTTAAATAGGTTGTGTAATAGGAATCTTTTATACGTAGAACCTTCATATTACTTGTTCGTCCTCTGATCACTAGATGGCGGTAAATACTTGCTGAATTCCATTATATTGTAAACTGATTTTCAGTTTGATTAAAAACTAGGTAATGACATGATTAATTTGGCAGAGCTTTAATTAGGAAAATTTATATCCTATAAATAATTTAATCTAAAATACCAATAGTAGTGGTTAATATTATATTAGAGCCATTAAAATATTGAAATCAGACTGTTCTAATCCAATAATTTTATATTAAAATCATTTAATTTAGCCGACCTTTTAGAGATTTTTATTTTTTGACACATTTTACTGTGAAGAAATTGAAATTATATTTAAGGAGAAATATTGGCAATAATTATAGTAATATATTTAATAACATTACAAAAATATTGGAGATAGAAGAGCTAAATTCTAAACTTTAGGTACCTATACAAAATATCCGAAATTAGATATTTTTGGATTTACGCAATTGCATCTCTAAGCTATTGAAAAATAAAGAAAGAAATAAAGAAACATACGTACGTTCATGTATTAGTCATTCATCTTGAGAATGCATATGGTACAATTCCAGAGATTTTCCGAGTAGGAAGGAGTTACAAATAGTCATAAAATAGTGTTAGTAGTCACAAAATCTGTACTTTACGCATTGCTGCACGAAAAGACCTGTAAATATTTGTTTTGTTGAACCACGTACATAAATTATTTGGCCAAAATAGCTTCAAGTCTTCATTTTCTTCTTGTTTTCCATGTAAAATTAGTTGCCCAATCGCTGTTACTCATGATGTGACCGAGATATTTGATTTTGGCTAGGTATTTTAATTGTGTAGTTACAAGCTTTTACTTTTTGTATTCTTCTTAAAACTTAATGATTTAGCTAGCTACATAACTCCCAGTAAAATTCAAAGATCTCATGACGTTGTTGTTCAGTGAAATTTTTGGCACATGAGTTTTGACAAGCTTTGTTTGTATTTTTTCCCTTTTTACACCAGCTTCGCCTACCTTATCTAAAAATTTAGCAGAAATGTCGTGATCAGAATCAAACTTTTTAATTTTGTTGATTTTTGGGAATTAAAACTAATAGTTAATTCAAAATTCAACACTGCTCTGGTAATTTTATTTGAATGTTGGATAAAGGTTAGTATAACTCTGTAATGTCTCTCTAGGGGTCTGTGTTACAATAGGTATCAATAGCGGATTATCAGCAGGTTGGTCTGTAAAATTTCGCATAGATCTTGTCCCTCACTATACTTAATATATCTCTAAAATATTCTGAGAAATCCAAAAATTGAGGTATTGGCCACTATTAAATGATACACTTACCTTGTATGGAAAGTTGTTAGTGCAAACAAATGCGCAAATAAAAATATTAATCGACGTGTTCAAGCATGTTTTTAACACGCCCCCAAGATCACGGTTCGTAGACTTACTACGGTTGCCTCTTCCGACTAGGGTGGGGATGCTTGAGTTACGTCACAGGAGTACACAAGAACACAAAACCCATTTATTCGCGATTGAAACTGAATGTAGAGGGCAGGTCGATTGCAGTGTCATGGCCGATATAAATGGTATAAACAAAAACAAACATAACATTCGAATATTTACCATTGCTTTTCCATGTTTAGTTTGGTTTAAGACGAGTTATTTGTATTATTTAATAATGGAAATTAACCTTAATGATATCTTTGAGTATTGTGGTGAAGCAAAGAGTCCATTGGTTGAAGGGGAAGCAGTTTTCAAGTAATGAATTCCTAAATTTTAACTTTAATGTTTTGAACTGACTTGTGTATTGATGATGATGAATCCTATTTTGTGTATACCTGGGAACCCAGAATATAATATTCTGTGTAATGTTTGCCTTAACGTATATATGCATTATTATACCTTATGTTTTTAATATGTTAATTTTTATTTTATACTATTTTTTGACATATGTAAGTACTTTATTGTATATTAACATAAATAAATAACTTTAACTTGGCTTTATTGTAAAATAGTTCATTTGATTACATGAAATCAACCTACTTTATTTATAAAACATTTTTGTTTTGATACATCCATCCAATCACAGGGCTGAATGTTAAGATTCAAATTACGTCACAGGAGTACAATCCAGCTTAATGTTCATTGGTTAGGCGGAAGAGGCAACCGTAGTAAGTCTAGGAACCGTGCCCTAAGATAGTATTTTGCCTATAATTTATTGTTTTAGCACGACAGCTCTGCTTGTCAAACTGTCATTTGTCAAATCGTCTTCTTCGACATCTATAGAAATAAGCTTTAAGCTTACAACGCTTGAATTGGCTTGAACGGATATGGAGATGTGTGACAAACGATAGGATATATTGGGAGGAATATAATGTATATGTATAGACTAGAAGTGGAATATGTTAATGAATAATGTAGATTTTTGCCTACGTATTGTTTTATTAGTTGACTGAATTAGTACAGTAAAAATTTGTAGATATTTAATTCCTATTCAAATATTAATTAAAAAGAAACAATAATGAAAAATAGTATTATTTTACACTTCATGTGGCGTGTTCGTTATAACTTTTAGTTTAAGAAGTGGTATTTTTACTTATCTAATCCATGTAAATATTATTCTACAATAAAGTAATAAGCATTTTTATTTTCGGCGTAATTAATACGCAGTGATCCATTTTGTTCGAGAATTGCCTACTCCGAGTTCTTATTATCATTAATTGGTGAGGTAGCTTTATCCGCTTCTTTGACGCTTCTCGCAGAATTTTGATCAGCTTCAATAGTTTCTTCTTCAATATTTTCTTCTTGTACAACATCACATTCTATTCTTTCTTCGTCGCTATTCGCTTCCTCATCTTCGTGCTCCAAATCTTCCTGTTCCTTAGCAATATCGCTCGTAGCAATTGAAGTAGTTTCTTCTTGATTAACAACAGCTGCTTTGGCCTTCTTCTTCTTAAACTTCTTCTTTACTTCGTGAATAACTTCTTTGGGCACATTATATCCGGCTGGGAAGAAGTACTTACAGTCTATCTCCCCCTTCTCCGCATCGGCGCTCATGTAAGTAGGTCCTAGTTCTGTGAAAGCCTGGAAGCATTCTTCGTTGGTCTTGGCTAGCTGAATAACTATTTTTTCTTCACTGAAACTGATTTATATACTTTGAGATTCTAAAAGATTGGTTGATGTGGAAATAAACAATAAACAACGGTAGAAACTGTATCAAGTTTATACCGTTATTTTATAGTGGATGATGTAAAAGTTCTAGAGCAAAGAGTGGAGTTTCTATAGCTACACATAACAAATAAGAAAACAATTGATGAATTAAGGAAAATGATGATAGCCCGTTTGGGTATTTTATTATATACCTTTTATAAATGATTTGAAATAAAATTTTTTCTTAAAACTGATAAAGACTCAGTAAGTAATAGAAAAATGTTAACCTTCCATAGACATCAATTCATCAATGAATGATAAAAAAGAATGATCAAAGAGAAAATAACTATAATGGTGCTTTATTCTTGGATTGATTAAAACTGATTTTTTACAAGATATTGAGACTAGAAACTCCAGCAAGACAAATTTAGTAAATTGAAACCACAATAAATATTGACCTCTAAACACTGTATCAGAACCTGTAAGCCTATTTTAAAAATTTAACTTACTACGTAGTTGGTGTAGTTCTTTCCTCAAAGTCCGTAACAGTTTTAGATATGAGTGATGCCTCAGCTGGTTTATCACTCGAAAAGAACCCGTACATCATCACTTGACCTGGATACAAATCGGATAGCTCCATAACTTCTCTACTTTTAAACGAGTCATATGCTGCAGCTACATAAAATGGTGTAGGCTCGGCATCTGGAAATTTATAAGGAGCTGTAAGGTTGGGGAATAGGTGTTTCAAGACTAGAGCTTTTGTCATTTTGTCTGGAGGGGCCCATATACCTAAAAAATATAGTTGGTAAGTCTTATATTATAAATATAAGGTTCCTTAATATACTTCCATATAAACGACTAAGTGTACTTTTAAATTTATTAACTGAAGTTATACAGTTTACAAAAACGATGAAAAGCGACTTCTACGGTACACAAAAACGTATGGAGATTCATAAGAAACCAACGGAAAGAAATGGCAGAATTGAAGGAATACAATAACATACCAGCAAACGAATGGGAAAGATACCTGACAGAACTGTTAAAAGAAAACGAAAATAATAATCAACACAATGACGTACCTGAATAGGGACACGAAATAGAAATCAATTTTCAGGAAGTAGAGATGGCCATAAATTCACTTAAAAATAGAAAGTCACCAGAACCAGACGGGATAACCTACGAGCTTCTAAAACACGTAGGAGAAAGTATAACCCTAGAGATGACAAAACTTATACAAAAACTAATATTGCACTGCAAGATACCAGACGCATGGAGAAACAGCATAATGATACCAATGTTTAAAAAAGGAGAGAATAACCATATCCAATTTCCAATATCCAATTTTCAGCCCAATATGTCATAATACTTTTACACTAATGTTTTATACATCTCTGTTTTTGTCTTCATATTTAGGTGTCTAGCCCACCATACTGAGTTAAGTTGTCGGATTGCTGTTCTTGTTTGTCCTATATTAACAAGCAATTAGACCTATATTAACATACATGGCGAAGACCTGACATTTATCTCAAACGAGACGACTACTACAAACAACAGAGGGATAAGTCTGTTGGATAGGGAGAGAAGCGAAAACATAAGAAGAGCATGCAATATACAGATTGAACGAAATAAATTCGGAACATAGGAATATAATGTATTTCGGCTCAATTCTGCTGTAGCTGGTTGGCCAACAAAAGATTGTCAAATAATTATATTATAAAAAATCCCATAATTCAGCGGGCTGCTGGATTCTGAACTCATAAAAATTGAAAGCTACACATAAATCTACGATTATGCTGTCAAACCAGTTATAGTCCAGGAAATGTAGCATTTCACCTCGCAATTTTTTCGTGCGGCGTTGATTGACTTGAAATTTAAGAGAAGGTAGGTAATAGCCTAAGGATCAAAATCTATATCGAACCAAAGTGCGCCAAAGCCTAGGGGGTGGTTGCCACCCCATCTCCGGGGTGAAAATTTTTTTTACGTTTTAACTACAGGTTTCGATTAGAAAAGTGATTCTAAACAAAAAATGTGCTATACATTTTTTTATAAAATGATATTTTTCAAGTTATTCGCGATTGAAAGTAACAACTTTTAGACGAAAAAATCCACGTTTTTAATCGATTTTTCGCGAATAACTCGAAAATGGTGCATTTTATCAAAAAAATTGTAGAGAACAAATTTGTAGCTTTTAAAAAGACAAATACAATTACAAATACAATATCAATGTTCAGCGGTTTTCTTCAAATGCCAAATTTGAAAGATTCAAAGTCAAATATCGGGAAAATGATGCATTTTTGGAAGAAAACTCACAAAACCTTTTTTAAAGAGCATAAATAGACCTATCATAAAAAAATAAGGTCAATACCTCATTTTTTACGAAAAAATCGAGGAAAACAACACCCTAACCACCCCCATAATTAAAATCGATCTTCACCCTTCTGCAATTCCCTTTGTAGATGTATTGTTAATACGTCCAAGAAGTTTGACCCATTTAAAATGCTTAGTTTTAGAAAAAGTACAGCTTAAAGCGAGAAACGATTTACAATTTCATATTTTTTACCCTTCTTTTTTTAAATATGCCCGAAAATACTGAATATATGAAAAAATAAAAATTACCAAATTGTAGCTTTTTTAATGACTAAAATTATGCTTTATTTAGATTTGTTGTACAATGAATATTTGGCGAGATATAGCCGTTTAAAGCATCGATTTACGATCAAGCACCATCTTTTTCGAGCCCTTTAAACTCACCCCATTTAAAAACCAAGGGTTCCAAAAAGATTTAATTCACAGATCCTTGTAGCTATTAAAAACCTCTACAAATCGTTTTTGAAGAAACATCTATCGTTAAAAATTAAAGGAAATACGTTAAAAAAACCAGTTAATTTTTTTCCGGAAAATTCCATTAGTATAGTACAGTACATTTCGGAGCATAATAATCTACAAAACCGGTATATTAGCTAGTGGGGCGTTATACATTCGAAATTTTAAGCGTTCTTATTTTGAAATCCCATACAACAGAATAAAACATCTGCTCATATGTCTATGTCTTGGCAATGAAAATATCAGAGCAACAGATTGGGGATGGTTTTCCAAAGATGGTTTGTTATTACCCGTACGCATGAACAAACAACCTGTACCCGATAAATTTTTGAAAATTATTTTTTGCCAATGCAAAAAAGGATGCGGCGTTTCATATGGGTGCAGAAAAGTTGGTTTATACTGTAACTCTACTTGTTCTGGGTGCTCAGGTGAAGGGTGCAATAACAGTCCACCAATAATTGAGGAAGATGATGATGACATAGATCACGATGAAGATGTAATTGATGACGAATAAAATTAATATTATAATTGTTTTACCTATAAATGTAAATATTTTCAACTATTTATGTAAATGTATAAGAATAATATGGTGCCTTTTTATGTTGATAATTTTTTTTGTATTTAATTCTACTTTTTTCAATTTATATCTTATAAATTAGTTTATAAAAACTTCAATGTTGTAAAGGGTGATTTTCAAAAGTTGAAAAGTTATATGAATTTGTATTTTAAAGTATAAAAAACTCACTATTTAACTAATCCAAACCAAATTTCACTCATTTTAGGATTTGTAATATTATTTTACAATTTTTGAAAATTAGGGGTAGTTTTCACCCCTAAGAACAATCAGGGTTCATTAGCATGACATAAACTATAAAGCAGAGGGTGAGTTGAGCTTAATTCCAAATTTTTATGCAAGTCGTTTCAAGGTGAAATCATTTTCTTCGCATTACTAATTTTTTTATATTAATCTCTAATGAGGGTCGCTTTTTAAGGGTTGAAATATGATGGAACTTTATTGAAAAGCACGAAACTATCATTATTTAATTAATTCAAACCAAATTTTACCCACATTCAGGTTTAATATGTTATTTTATAATTTTTGACAATTAGGGGTAGTTTTCACCCCTAAGAACAATCAGGGTTCGTCGACATGACATAAACTATAAAGCAGCGGGTGAATTGAGCTTAAATCCAAATTTTTATCCAAATCGATACAAGGCGAAATCATTTTTTTAGAATTAGTAATTTTTTACATTAATCTTTAACAAGGGTTGCTTTTTAAGGGTTGAAATATGATGGAACTCTATTCAAAAGTATAAAATAATCATTATTTAATTAATTCACACCAAATCTTACCCATATTCAGGTTTAATATGTTATTTTATAATTTTTGACAATTAGGGGTAGTTTTCACCCCTAAAACCCTTCAGCGCACTTTGGTTCGATATAGATTTTGATCCTTGGGCTATTACCTACCTTCTGCTAAAATTTCAGCTGGATACATGCAGGACGAAAAAATTGCGAGGTTTTAACTTTTTTCGAGCTTCAATTCCTGAACTATTATCACCTCCTTAGACAAACCCGTCTTACGCAAACAACTTTGTTGCGAGACAGATAGTTGAACGATATTTTATACAATGTCTATACCCAGGTATGGATTTATTTTTGTCCAAGTTTTATATTGGTCCACTATTTTAAATGCAGTTCAAACAGACATGTATTAAATTGTATGTTCCGTTTTAATTTGGTTCAATCTGTAGAAGACAAACATGGATGGGTGACAAAACGGAAACAGGACACAAACGAACACATTAGTAGAATGGTAAAGGATAGAGTAGTACGAATAGTACGAGATAAGTCACCAAATGGACGAAGAAGTATTGGCAGACCAATAAAAAGATGGTTCGATAATTTAAACACTTTAGGAGTCTAATATTGAAAAAGAAAGTTTTAAAGCCTATATACAACAAGAAAGAAGTAGAAGAAGAAAAAGAAGTTATACAACAACGAAAGCTAAATAATATAAGCCTTCTGCAATTAAAAAACATTCTGCTATTTGTCTTGCCAAAACTTCCAAGGTGACTAGCAAATTAAAACTGAACGAAAAGAACAATCTAATGAGATTTTTAGTAACTCTCTTGGGTGTAAGGCAAGATTTTAAAAATGTCTTTCTAGTTTATAAATAAAACATAATAATACCTGAGATAATATTATCCTCGTCTTCATCATTATCTTTTTTTATAGTCAATTTTTGACAAGGTGAATTTTGATCTCCAGGTGGGGCACGGCTATTTCCATACACAATTTGCAGGACGATATCTTCAATTTCTCCGGGAAGATTCTCTCCACTTCTTTTGACTAACATAGCTAATGAGACTTTTCCGTTCAGCATATCCTCAACACTTTTTGTTGACAATTTTTCTTCGCAGAAGAAAAATATGTCGGTAATAATTTCTTGAGTTATTTTAACCTAAAAAACGAAATTAAAACTAATAAAATGATTACTTGACAATAGAGTTATTGTCGAGAAATGAAATAAAACTTTATAAAAGTCCTTAATTACCAACAGCAGTTATTACATATGTCCTAATTATGTAATATATGGCACTAATAATTCAGGTGCTACGGCACACGCCGGATGTGCAGTCATAATCAAGAAATCAATTAAGCATCACCAGCATACTTAAACTACTAAAGACTTTTTGCAAGCCACCAGTCTATCTGTTGAAGATTAAGACGAGTAGTTATTAACGATAACACGCATATACTATCCACAACCTAATATAAATAAACAATAAATATACACTATCTAGACTCACTACTCCAAAAGGAAGACAACAATCTTCACACATCATTTTACACACTTCAAACATATCCACAGGTAAACCTACGTACTGGCTTACCAACAAAAATAAAGTACCAGATCTGTTAGATTTTGGTGTCATCATGGGTGTACCAAGCAAGCACCTGATGGCTTCTTCTTGTTATAATCTGTCTTCTTTCCATTCTCCTGTTTTAATAATAATCCTGAAGTAAGTTTAGAAATCCTTCGTAAAACATCATCTCCTACATTAACAAACAAATCGACACACTGAGATCAATTCAGAGATCTAACTAATACATCATAATTAAAAATAAACCTGGAAATTCACAATGTAACATAATACCTTAACTAATGTATACAAGAAACTGCATGGGAATTAATACTGCATGGAATCAATTACAGTCAAGCAAATAAACCGCCCTACTCACGAACTACTTAATAAAATCAAACCTAAAATCAAAACAAAAAAACCGTATTATCTTCCTTAAAAGGACAAACCACGGCCTATTCCTACCTCATATACACCAATTTCTCTTCTTAAAGGCTTTCCTAATGTCTTCGAGAGGATTCTAAGAGAACTTATAGACTTTACCAAAACAATAAACATAATTTTTTTTATTCGGATTTAGGGAAGGTTACTCTACCAACACCGTTTTGACTGAAATCATTACTTACATCACTCAAAAGTTAAATCACAAAACAAATTCCCTTGGCATTTTTCTCTTCTTCTTCTTCTACATTTTCTAGATCTTTCGATCTGTTTAATTCTGAAGCTGCCTCTGGTTAATTTCTTGGGAGGTAGATTGCCAACTATCCCTCCATCTTTTAGGTGGTCTTCCGGGGGGTCTTGAACCGGGCGGATTGTTTTTTAGGGCAATTTTTGGGGAGTCTATTCTCATCCATTCGTCTTACATGGTTGTACCACATCCTCTTGCGCTGCCTTCCCCATCTTACAATATCTTGAATTTTGCACTGCTTTCTAATGTTTGTATTTCTCGCTCTGTCTCTTCTTGTTTTCCCCATTATTGTTCTTAGGGTTTTCATTTCGGCAACCCTTAGCATCTGTTTCGTTTTGTTAGTATCTTCGCGTACTTCTATGCCATATGTCATGATCGGTCGTATGCAAGTCTTATAGATTCTAATTTTACTATCTGTGCGCATATACGGATTTGACCAGACTATCTCCCGCAGACATCCTGACAGTGCAGATGGTTTGTTGATCTGACTCCTCAGGTCCTTTACTGGCTCGTGGGTGTTTGATATATCTATTCCCAGATATTTGAATTGCATCACCTGTTCTATGGGGTTGTCCTCAACCACTAACTTACATCTGAGCGGATCTTTTGCTATTGTCATACATTTAGTTTTGTTGGTAGAGATGTTCATATTTAGTAGTCGGCTTGTTTGAAAGAACTGAAAGAGCTGCCTTTGGAGATCATCTTCTGATTCGGCAATAATTGCTGCATCGTCTGCGTAACACACCATACCAATTCTTTTGTTGCCCATTCTATATACGAGATTAAGAGATGTTACTTTGTTGATAATTTTGTCCATGAGAAGATTAAACAAGAAGGGGCTTAAACTGTCGCCTTGTCTAATTCCTCCCGGTGTTGGAATATTTTCAGTGAATTCGTCTCCTGCTCCAACTTTGGTTACGTTGTTGTTATTTAGTTTATGGAGTATCTTTGTTATACTGGTCGGTGTTTCATTTTCTATTAATATATTAAGAATGTCTCCCAGGCGAACTCTGTCAAATGCCTTCGTTAAATCAATGAAGCAAATATACGCTGGCATGCCGAACTCTATAGCTTTTTCTTTTATTTGTTTTATTATAAATACTGCGTCTGTTATAGACCGCCCTTTTGTAAAACCTTGTTGTTCTTCAGCATTAGTGATTTGCTTTTCCAATTTGTCCTTGAGAATACCCGTGAAAAGTTTCATTGTTGTATTTAAGAGGGTTATTCCTCTATAGTTTTGTGGGCAGGTTTTTTTGTCCTTTTTTAAATATGGGGATTCTGATACTATTATGCCATTCCTCTGGTGTTTCTGTTTTGTATTTTACATTTTTCTCAATTTTCAGAAAGCTTTCTGACTACTGAAACTACTGAAGAATGTATCGAACATTATCTTGTCCATCCCATTTGTCAAACTGCCCCATTCTTATATATCAGATAGAAGAATCACGGTTAGGGTCAGAAAATACCTCTCAACATCTTTCACTACTACATCAGAAGTACTTCAAACTTCTATTCTGGTACTCATACTGTAAACAATATACAACAACGAACTTTGCTAATGGTAAAAACACCAACACTGTTACCTTTCTATAGTCAGACAGCACTGCTTTCTGTTACTGTACAAGATACATATATTATTGCAAGGCATGCTCAAAATCAACCAAACCATTTTCATAGATGGTGCAGAAGATGAAGAGTAACACACTCCCCCAACAAAACTTTTTAAATATCCAATCACTGGCGCCTACCACACAAAACGTGTAGAAGAATGTATTGAGAACTTCACTCCAATTCAGCGATCAGATCAAATATCCAGCAGTAGTGTCCACCAAAACACTAGATTGGACGCCACACCTAATGGAAATCTGTGACAAGGTTAGAAAATAAGTCGGTCTACTCAATGATTATTGTGGAAAACACACATACATATTTGGCCGCGGATTAAACACAGAGCAAAAATCTACGCTCTGCTTCCTTGTATGAATTCCTTGACTCATATATAGATTTTCTGGATGAACAATTGTTTTTTACCGTATTTAAATAGTTGCCTTAAAGTTCTGCACACGGATAGACCGGGATCGTTTTTCTGTGGTTTTCTCAATGTCATTACAAACTTTTAGAGAGCTGTCCATATAGAGGTAACAGCCACAGTTTTTCTCAACGTGTAACGCTAGAGTAAGTCAAACAACAAAAAACTCCAAGCCCTTTTTTCTCTAGACGATACCTTCCTTCGCATGACATCAAACTACCTGTTACCACCACAATCAGTGATTTCCAACATTTAACGAGACCACTGCCCCCACACACAACCAAAAGAACATCGTAAAGAGGCATAAGAATATGCCTAAATGGAACAACCATTTTAAAGAGATATAATGACAACAAGGCGGCAACCTTCCAACAAGGGAGGTAATATTTAGAATCAGAAATAATAGAAATGTCGAATACCTTGATTGTCGTCTTAACTACAGAAAATATGCAAAACATAACAGGAATATTTATTTGAGACAGGCGCAAATGGGCAAACCAGCTAACCACCAAAAAATTATCGCCCAATTATTTTGTTGTCGATAATGTGTGAATTACTTAAAATACTCCAAAACTGATAGCGAATAATATAATATACAATAATTCAACCATGACCGTAAGACTACACGCAGATACAAAATATATAAAAGTCAAAAGAAGAATCAGACATGACCAATCTGGTACTAAGTACAATGAGGTAAACGATCATCATCAGATCAAATATATAACACAAATTTATTATATTAGTTAATAAAATTAAGTAAATTCAGACAATATATTTATAACTTTGTATTATTTTATTTGTTATATACTAAAAGTCAAACATATCAAAATCTAATTCCTCCTCTATTCCTTCCTCCCACATTTCTTCTTCAATTTCTTGTTCTTCACTTTCTCTTTCTTCTTCCACTTTAGTTTCTTCTTCCACAGCTTCTGCTTCCATTTCAATTTCTTCCATAAAGACTTGTTCTTCTTCAGTAAGTGATTCAGCATAATCATCGGGAAAGAATAATTGACATTCTTTAGCGCCTTCTTGAGGATTCGGTGAAATATAGCTTGGTCCAATTTGAGCGAAAGCTAACACACATTCGCTTTTCTTTTTCGATAACTGGATAATCAACTTTTCTTGGCTAGAACGAAGAGAACGGTTTTTACTAATAGAATTGTACATATTCAAAGAAAACCGAAGCTTTTAGTCTCAGAATAAATAAATAATAATTTCCTAGAATTATATTTTTAAAACGAAAATAAATTAAATAATTTAAAAGATAAAATTAAAAGAAACAGTAAGATCCTTTTATTGAGAAATACAAATGAACAAAAAGAATACTGAATAAAGTTGAAAATGCTAAAAAAATAAAAAACATCAAGGTAATATTATCTATCACGAAAAAACTTGTGAATTTAATACTCCTATGCTTATGTGCTTTGTGGATTACACAAAGGCCTTCGATAAAGTCAAATGGTAGCAGCGATGGTCCATACTAGCGGAAATGGGAACACCCCACCACTTAATTGAACTAATTAGAAGTCTATATGAAAATAATAAGTACACAGTAAATATATATATATATATATATATATATATATATATATATATATATATATATATATATATATATTTACCTTTTAAATTTACATGTGCGCTTTTTAAACATAAGTTTAAACGTACAGGGTGATCCACGCACGTCTGGCATAGTCCATAATCCTTATTTTTAATGAAACACCCTGTATATTTTTATGTTTTTAAACTACTTTTAACAACCTGATTTCAATGAACTATATCATGTAGGGTCTATAATGAATAATGCAAGGCGAAATTTTGAAATTAATAATTTATCACGTGTTATGATATTATTTTAAATTAGCTAAATACAGACAATAGACTTCTACTTTAAGAGTCAGTACACTGTATATTGGGGAACAATTCTGTTTAGTAACCGTGTTAACATTTTTTGTCGTGAATAGGTAAAAACTGTATAGATAGTCTGCTAATTAAACTAAATCGGTAAATAATGCGGATTGTTATCAATCAGTTGACATGCTGTTGACATTTTACATTAAAATAATAAATTATTATTTAAAAACTAATTTTTTGCAGAAATAAAAATGAAATATTTAACTAAGGCCTACCGAATTGAGATTTTAATGATGATCGGTTACGGGAGAATTGTAGAAGTCAAATTGAAGTAGTAAACTTATTTAATCAGAGGTATCCTCATTGCCTAATATTTTACAAGGTACTGTGTCTAAAATTTATGCACAATTCAGAGAACTTAGATATGCCATTTACCAGATAGAACCATTAAAAAGAAAATCGAACTTCATTGAAGATGAAGTGAAAGTAGATATTTTGTTAAGTGTCGCAGAGAATCCAACGTCAAGTTCACGTCAAATTGCACGTCAAAATAATGTGAGTCACACAACTGTCCTAAGGTGTCTTCATGAAGAAAACTTCATCCATATAAATTGACATTTGTGCAGGAGCTAACAGAAGACGATCCGGATCTTAGAATGATTTCTGCAAAAGAATGATATATAAAATTAACAAATGAAATAGCTCTTAGCACAATTCTTCTTTCTGATGAATCAAAATTTAGATTGAACGGAGAGGTAAACTGACAAAATTGTAGATATTGGTCAGCGGAGAATTCTCATTGGATGCGTGAGACACCCACTCAGTATCCTCAAAAGTTGAATGTTTGGGCAAGGTATTATAGGAGATCATATTATTGGTCCTATATTTATAGATGATAATTTGACAGCGGAAAAATATTTAAGCATGCTAAGAGACGATGTTCTTCCTTAGTTGGCTAACTCCCAATCCAATAGATCCGACCCTACCGCATGAAACTGTCTGGTTCCAGCAGGACTTTGCAACACCCCATTATGCTTTAATGGTGAGAAATTACTTGAATGAAATCTTATTCAATATGTGGATTTGATGAAGAGGACTAGTGAGCGGCCAGCTAGGTCGCCAGATCTTACGCCTTTGGATTTTTTTGTGGGGTTATCTCAAGAACAAAGTATATGCAACACAATCAACTATCATTGAAGACCTCAAAAAGTAAGGATAACTACAGAAATACGGAATATTTCACCTCAAACTTTAAACAAAGTTCGGAACAAGTTTTATAGGAGACTGTGTTATTGCCAACAACAAAGTGAAGAAGATATTAAGCATTTATTTTAATGTAATCCAATCAATTTCAAAATTTCAAAATTTCACCTTGTATTATTATAGGTGAACTATATCATGTAGGGTCATAATAGACCCTACATGATATAGTTCGTTGAAATCGGGTTGTTAAGGAGCTTTTAAAAACATGAAAATATACAGGGTGTTTCATTTAAAATACAGACTATGCACTATGCCAGACTTGCATTGATCACTCTGTACATTCAAATTTATGTCTAAAAAGCGTACATTTAAATTTAAAAGTTAAGGTATCTCAACGTTTTTTATTATTTTATAAAATAAGGACACAAACAATTTTATTCCATAAGTGGTTTCCACACTGTATATATATTCGTATGAACTTTACACACTGCAGTTTTAACATAAAGAAAAGGAAGAAAAAAAGTAACAATAACAATAATAAATAAAGAAAGTAAATAAGTAAACACTGACACAGAACATATAAAATTAAAATTATTAAATTAAAGTCGAAGGTTATTCCTCGAAGCCAATTCCTCGCCTTGGGAGTAAGTTGGTCGATTTCTTGAAGGCTGCCAAAGAACTTGGTGGCTGGACACTCGAAGACGATGTGGTTAATTGTTTGTTCAGCAGCGCTGCATTTGTCACATTCCGGGCTGGCATTTATACCCCATTGATTCAGCGATTTGTTACAAATTCCATGACCAACTCGTATTTCATTTAGGTTGCACCATTCACAACGGGGAAGAGAAAAGCCGTCTGGTTTGATTGTGGGGTTTTATACCAGATTGGAATTTCTGATGTGTGGATTCCATTCGCCCATCCAGTACTCTTCGGTAGTGAAAACAGCCAATTTTGTAGCAGTTCTAGTAGGTGGATGTCTGGATTTCAGTCTTAACTGCCTTTGGTGTAGTTCAGCGATGTCTGTGTTTATCGGTAGTTCTGGGATTTGTTGGCATTTTTAAACTAGAGTGTTGAAAGCGGCTAGTCGTCTTGTTGCTGGTGGAGCGATGTTGCTTAAAACTGGAAGCCATTGGGTTGGTGTGGGCTTTATAGTTCCCGTTATGTGCCTGATTGTTTGGTTTAACTTGATCTATGACTTTTGTGTGATGACTGTTTAGCCAGACAGAAGCGCAATATTCTGCAGTAGGATATACTAAGGACAGCGCGCTCGTTCTTATTACCTCTGCATTCTACCCCCATGATGTATTTGCTAACTTATGGATAATATTATTGCGGGTCTTAATTTTGACTGAAGTGTTTTTCCAAATGCTTTTTGAATGTTAGGGTACGATCTAGAGTTACGCCGAGGTATTTTGGGTTAGCACTGTGCTTTAGACTGGTTCCATCGCATTCTATGTTTAGTCTGTAATTTGCCTTGTTGTTGTTTAGATGGAAAGCTGTTACTTCAGTTTTCGACGGGTTTGGTTGTAGGCCCCATTTCTTAAAGTATCTGTTAACAGTGTTTAGATCTGCTTCTATGGTGGATTCGGCGATGTTTATGTCTTCTTTCTGGGCACCCAAAGCCATGTCATCGGCATAAATAAATTTGTGCGAAGTGGTAGTTGGTACATCTGACGTATAAATATTAAAAAAAAAGAGGAGACATAACTGACCCTTGTGGCAAGCCGTTTTGCAGGTTTCTGAAGTTACTATTTTTCCCATTTAGGTGTATTTGGAAAAGTCTGTCACTTAGCATTTGGTTTAACAACCTGTTGAACGCACGGCACGGTAACATCTGGTATATTTTATATAAAAGGCCCTCCTTCCACACTGTGTCGTAGGCGCAGGTATAAACGTAATTTGGTATAAACGTTTAAGAATAAAAATTAAATAAATTCTGTTATACCGAATGGCCCATATTAAAGCAACACCAGTGTACCTACTTTTGTATTGTTGTGTCGCACAGTATATCTCCAAACAATAAATTGTTATTAACAAACAAATCCTTAAAGTGTTATATATTTTAGAATTAAAATAGACCCCCATTGCTATTTAAAAAATCTGAGAGGGTAGCTGTCAAGTGAAGGGGATGAAAGAGGTGACAATTTTTTTATGTTAGAAAATACTTCTATTAAAATAAAAATTGACGGGCCCGAGCGTTTTTCATCTTTGTCTTAAATAACGGAGTTCACTAAGGGGAGGGGGGGGGGTAAGACTTAATATCCACACTGTATGTTACATTCAGTAAATTAATTGCTCGGTAGTTTTTGCATATTCTATGGTCTCCTTGTTTTGGGATTGTCACTGTAATGCCCATTTTTGGCAATATTTCTTTGCTTCATATATTCTGTATTAGTAAATCTTTCTGTAAAATGCCTCCCCACCATATTTTATAAGTTCTGCACATATTTCATCTTTTCCGCTGTTTTCCCGTTTTTAGGTTTGCATATTTTCTTTTTCACTTCTCCATACTCAACTCCATACTCATTACTCAACCGTTAAATTTAATAAATAAATATTATTTACAAAAGGACATTTTGGAAGAGATTGAAAATACATAATCGCAAATAAAACTACATTAATGATTAATGCAAATTAGTATTAAAGGTAACAGAACTATGCCTATAACTTCACTTACCTGATATTTATAAAATAAAAAAATACTTCAATTAGGCGCGAAACAAATAAACGTGAGCCTTGCTTTAATGCTTAATTAAAAGTGAATGCATAATGTTGCTCCTCTATGGAGGGTATTTATGACATCATTTGTATCTGTATTAAAACGTAGGAGAGTAGATAGTGTGATGACCGATATTTAGCCTGATTAAAAAAATATTTCAATTAGAAGCGAAACACATAATGGTGCACTATGCTTTAACGCTTGACTGAAACTGAATGCATAATCATACTCCTATATAGAGGGTATTTATGACATCATTTATGTTTGTGTGGTCATATAAAACATAGAAGATGAGATAGAGTGGGGATCGCTACTAGGTCATTATCCTATATGACAGCTACTAGGAATGTGCTTTAAGTAAATACTGCCATATTGAATATTCTCTATTTACCGGTGAAACTAGGTGAAGTTAAATAGGTACTGAATTAAAAAACATACGTTTGCGTTTGAAATTTTTAACTTGCCTATATCTGACAGATATGAAACTCTAAATGTGCCTCCAATGTGATTTTACTCATCGGATAAAATCCGTGAAATGTATAAATGTGAAAGGTATATAAATTATATGAGTAATATAACTTACTATAATGAGAAAATAGAAATTTAGAAAAATGTTACAGTAAAAATAAATAAGAAAGTAACCAGAAGCAGAAGAAGAAAAATCCTAATGTACTGTAATTATTAATGTCTTACAATGTTCTTTTCTCTCTGTACGATGCCTTGTCTAATCTTTGAACGCTTTTAGCAATCAATTCCGTATCATGAGGATCCTCCTTTGAGAAAAAACCATAATGCATAACTTGGTCTGGCCACTGACTCATTACATGGAGGGCGTCACGAATTTTTCTGGTATCGAATACAACAGCCAAATGTTCGGGTTCAGGTTCCGGTTCGGGTATTTCGTACGATGAAGCCAATTTAGGAAAAAACATCCTTGGAAAAAAATTTAAAAAATATTTTAGTTAATGGTAAACAATTACTACATATAAACATATTATAATCGACACCTGCAATTATTAATTATTTAATCGGAAAGAGTATATAATTGTCAGTAACGGTGTCAGTAAATCTTAAAAGTTAATAAACATCTTGAAATGTGTTGTTAGTTATGAATTTTGTAGATTTTCTGGATATATAGAATCAAAAACATCAAAGTTCAACTAATAATTAAAAAAGAAATATAAACAATACTAAAAAAAGAGCAAAAAGTAAAATATCCATGCCATTTATCAGAAACTAATAGGGATATAGACGATTACATTTATATATATATATATATATATATATATATATATATATACATATAATATATAAGATAAACAAACACACAGTTTATTAGGGCTGCAGTCAGAAGATTGACCAGGATGTTAAAGAAACACTCCTTGGACTTTTTGTCTAGCCTTCGAAATGTTTAATTTGTTTTTTTCAAGACGCTCCTTAGGATGTAGGGGAGAAGGTGGGAATGGCGCTCAGTGGGGAATGAAGCTCACCACCATGGACGTATAAACACAGATGGACTCAGTTATTTACATAAAATTGTGAAGTCAAAATTATTTGAATATGTCACATTCTCAGCACCTCCAACTGTTGTCACGTTTTTTTTATTAAAATTTCTTTAATTCGCGAGTCGCTGAAAATATTACTCCGTATTTTATACTCTACAGGTGCTATCAAACCAAAATAATAATTTATTGGTTATATTAATATATCTAATTGTAATCAAAATATCAAGTGTGCACATAGTGTGCATTATCATTTAATAATAGCGTATAATAGATATCAATCAATTATTTTATATTTAGAAGCACTGAAAACTATTTATAAATGGCAACGGTTGTTTACATTTCTCTGTTTTACGGTTCTACGTCAAACTTCAAATGCTATTCCATGTTTGTTTACAACGATTGAGGAAATAAGGAAAAATTGTTTTTTAGATATTATGGCTGTATTTTGAGTGATATTTGTGAAAAGTGAAATAAAATAAACGAAATATTTACATCTCGGTCTCTCATTTCATTTGTAAGTACATACAATTTACATTATTTAAGATGAGGAAATGAAAAAGCGAGTTTGTTTACATTTTAATAGGCGTACCATTGGGTTTATTCATGTTCATTAATGTATTCAATAAGATATAATAAAATTGTATTTTAATTTTTCTATAAAGACGTGATTTGTTAATAGTTAAATTCTCGTTTTTTTTTAATTCTTTGAACGTGTTTTTATACATTATTACTACTTCCAATTTTTAAAATCTGAATAATTACCCGCGAGTAAAAATTCAAGCACGCTTATACTCATTGCGGAAGCATCACATTCTATCGAAGCTTCAAAACATTGTGTGTTAAAGGTATCTTATTGCTGTGTCCATCTATGTTTATACGTCCATGCTCACCACAGTTTACCTAGCCCAGTCGCGTTTACTACGTCCCGTTTGATGTCATTGCCTCCTCGGAGCCCTCCCGAACTAATCGGAAGCATAACTGTGTCGATATTTAGCATCGGTCGGCGGTTCTGACAGAAAACGTGAAATTTTGTGATTTTACTGTAATATTTTTGTCGCAAATATCTGAAGGTAAGTTGTAATAACGTTATTTTGTAGTATTATATCATATACTTATTCGATGAGATGTGTCTTGGATGTATTTTAACATGAACACTATTTACTTATTGTAACCTAGAAAAATTGTGTCACCATATTTGTTGAAGCTTTCAGTTTGGGGCATTTCCGCTCAAGCTGATCGTGATTACCCCGTTAGAGAGCGGCATTGCGCCAACTGGTATTTGACTGTTAATTTTAAAAATTATGATTAATTATACATAATTATTTGGTTTCAGATGGTTCGTAATAGAAAAAGGACAACCACTAAAGCACAATGGTCACCAGAAGTAATGATAGCTGCCATAAAAGCTGTGAGGTCCGGAAGAAAAATTAGGGAAGTGACACGTACTTTCCAAGTGCCATACAGTTCCCTTCGAGATAGACTTAAAGATAATTATTATGACTCTCGACTCGGAAGAAGGTCCACATTTTCTACAGAACAAGAATTGTTAATTCAGAGTCATGTTTTAAAATTATCAAATCAATTTTACGGACTCACAGCTCTTCAATTCAGAAGGATTGCTTTTCAATTTGCGAAAGCAAATAACATAAAAAATATGTTTATTGAAGTAACTCAGTTAGCAGGGAAAGATTGGCTACATAGATTTTTAAAAAGAAATCCACAAATTAGCCTTAGAAAGCCAGAGGCAACTACTCTTAACCGAGTTAAAGGATTTTCTAAGGAAAACGTAGCAACATTTTTTCGTAACTTGGAAAATGTCATGGAACGATATAAATTTGATCCTTCATCGATTTACAATATGGATGAGACAGGGATTAGTACGGTGCATAAGCCCATACAAATACTAGCACCCAGAGGACAAAAACAGGTAGGGATAGTGACAAGTGGAGAACGCGGCCAAACCACCACCGTTTGCTGTGCGTTTAGTGCTTCTGGAGCTTTTATTCCTCCCATGTTTATATTCGCAAGGAAAAGAATGACTCCTCAGCTACAAAAAAATGGACCCCCTGGATCAATATACAAATGCTCAAAATCTGGTTGGATCACAAAGGAATTGTTTTGTGAGTGGTTAAAACATTTTACAAAACATTCAAATGCTACAAACGACAATCCCGTTCTTTTGATTACCGACAATCACAGCAGCCATATTTCTCTCGATTGTTACAACTTCTGCCGTGAAAATGGAATAGTTCTACTCTCTATCCCTCCACATACCTCGCATCGACTACAGCCTTTGGATATTTGGTTTTACGGTCCTCTAAAAAAAGCTTACAATCGTGAATGCGATTTATTTATGAAATCAAAACCTTTAGAAAAAATAACAAATTATGAGATTGCTGAATTATTCAACAAGGCTTATGGAAAAGTTGCCTCGATTGAAAAGGCTATTAAAGGGTTTAGTTCTGCCGGTATAAATCCTTTAAACCCCTTCATATTCAATGACGATTTTCCAGATTTTAATGATCAAGAAAATGACCATACTGTGGATAACACGACAAATACTGTCGCAGATGAACAGCAGCCTTCTACCAGTAGAACAATTTCCCATTCTGTAAATAGAATAACCAATGATTCATCCAATGATGCAAAATCCTCTAACAAAATAGCGGAAATGCTGCTACCGATAAACTTTAAGCCCTTGAAACATCATTACATAATATCACACCTCTTCCTACAATACACAATAGAGCAAATAAAAGGCAAGTTGATAGAAAGAAAACAGACATCTACAATACTAACATCAACACCAATGAAAGATTTTTTGAAAGAAAAACATAAGAAGAAGAATGAAAAAATTGAAAAATCGAAAACCACTAAAATCAAAGAGGAAAAAGTACGCAAAGTGACAAAGAAGGTCAAATTTGATGACAGTTCTAGTGAAGATTCAGATGTCAGCATGACTGGAATTACTGATGACAATGAACCTGACGAGATAGGAGATATGCAAGATACGAAAAATAATATCTGCTTCCTTTGTGGCGAATTCGGTCGAGATCGGTCGAGTTGTGGTTCGTTGCGTAATTTGCGGAGGCTGGGCGCACGCAGAATGTAGCGGAGTTAATAAGGCTGAGGGTTATGTGTGCTACAACTGTCAGTGAAAGGATTTTTATTTTTCATTCTTAATTTTAACTGCTATTTTAACTTTTTGACGCAATTTGTGAATTTTGTTTGGAGTTTAATGTTTATTTTATTCATTTGTTTAAAAGTATTCATTTGACTCTCGACCTGCAAACATCGCATCGATACAAATTAGGCGAAAGTTTACAGTGTGATTAAAAACGGGCTCCGGCCGCGTTTTTACCGTCATTATCGTGTATCAAGTGGATATACTATTTATAAACTATTTAAAAATTAAAATATACAGTTTTAACAATTAAAATGAGTGCTCCACCAGATTTATCGGTGAGTGTTCCTTTTCATACTGCTACTGTTAATGGTCAACCTATAAATACTCAATATCAGCAACAACAAATTCAACCAGAATGCCCAAATGTCCTTTTTGCACAAAATTCACAACCAAATTCAGCACAAATTTTAAACAATCCACCAACAACAATATATTATGTTCCTAACCAAGTACTATTACAATCTTCCTCAAACTGTCAATACAATCCTACAATAAATCCCACATTATCTACACCTCTAAATGAAGCTTATGATTCTATTGAGATGACACATACATTACAAAGTGAAGAATCTTCAGAGGAAATCAGCGACATTGAGTCATCGGACATCCACGAATGGCAAACTATACAACATAGTAACAAAAAACGTAAAATTAATCCTCCGACACCAACAGAAAACGAAGACACGGTAGTAACCAGCAATAAATTTCAGATTCTACAAAATGAAAACGAAAACGACAACAATAACAGTACAGAAAATACCAACAAAACTCCAGCAACCAATAAACACCCACCAATTTTTATATATGGTGTTACTGAATACAATAAAATGGTTAATAATCTATCGGAAGTAGCAAAAACAGAGACATTCTATTGTACAGCATTAAAAAACAACACAATAAAAATAAATTCCCGGACTCTGAAACATACCGAAAACTAATAAGACATTTAAACAGCAAAAAAATTGTGCATCATACGTACCAGATGAAAGAGGATAGAGCATACAGAGTTGTAATTCGTAATCTACATCATACAGTGCCCATTAATATAATAAAAAGTGAAATAGAAAAACATGGGCATTTAGTACGCAATATTGTAAATATAAAACATAGAGTAAGTAAGGACCCTCTAATGATGTTCTACGTCGATATAGAACCTAATCAAAATAATAAAAAAATATATGAAATTCAATTTATAAACAACGCGAAAATAGTTATTGAGCCACCGTATAAAAAGAATAATATTGTCCAGTGTACCAGATGCCAATTGTATGGACACTCTAAGACATACTGTAATAGACCTTATCGCTGTGTCAAATGTGGAGGCAACCATATGTCAGCCGATTGTAAAAAACCTAAGGACACACCTGCCATATGCGCTCTCTGCAATGGAGCACACACTGCAAATTACAAAGGATGCCTAGTATATAAAGAGTTAATTAGCAGTAGAAACAGAGCAAGAGGAATATCATCGCACACTCCAGCGAACAATCAACTGCCATATAACAGAAATACAGTACAGAATAATCCGAACTTAAGCAATCAAAATCACGCGACTTACACACAAGCAACAGGTGGAACAATTGTAAATGATGTCCATAATAATACGAACTCATACAACCAAAATCAAGCAACTTACGCTCAAGTAACAAGTGGAACACATGGAAGCAATACACACAATGACATTGGAGAGATAATGAAGAGTTTCCTTAACGAATTCAAATCTATGTTTTCACAACTAATAAATCAAAATAGCGTGATCTTAAACATGCTTTCCACAGTAATAAATAAACTCAGTAATGGAACTTAAGTCACTACGAATTGCACAATGGAATGCCAACGGCCTAGGCAACCATAACACAGAAGTTACTAACTTTCTTGAACATAACAAAATTGATGTTCTACTCATATCGGAAACCCATTTCACTGACAGAACGATGTTCAAGATCCCTCATTACTCTATTTACAACACCAACCATCCTGATGGAACAGCACACGGTGGCGCTGCTATTATTATACGTAACACCATACCACACTATGAGGAAACAATGTATCAGATGGAAAAAATACAAGCTGCAGTAATCTGTATCAGTTCTCAACCACAGTCTTTTAACATCGCGGCAATGTACAGCCCTCCAAGGCATAATATCTCCACAGCAGAATATGAAGACTTCTTTAAACAGCTATCAAACAAATTCTTGATTGGAGGTGACTGGAATGCCAAGCATACAGACTGGGGTTCGAGACTATGTACGACAAAGGGAAGAAATCTTAGGCAAGCCATAGCTAATACAAACAGCTCTTACTTATCTACAGGGCAACCCACCTACTGGCCATCAGATCCAAACAAAATCCCAGATCTACTTGACTTCTTTATCCTTCATAACATGGCCTTAAATTATTTTGACATACAACCATCCTGGGATCTGTCCACCGACCATACTCCCATAATTGTAACACTATCTACGCAAATTATAAAACGTCCGCATATCCCTAAGTTAACAACATTAAAGACCAACTGGAATGTATTCGAGTCTTACATAAATGAAAATTTAAATTTAAATATAAGATTAAAGCAACCAGACGATATCGATAACGCTGTGCTTATTCTCACCCAAACTATACATGCAGCCGCAGAAATAGCTACACCCCCTCAGAATGACAAAGAACCAAGTGACACCAATATACCCGTGTATATAAAACGTCTTGTAGCACAAAAAAGAAGAGCCAGGCGCATATGGCAAAGAAGTCGCAATCCTATAGACAAAAATGAATACAATAGATTAACACGTCAACTTAAAACTGCTCTACAAGACGCGAGGAATGATACATTTGAACTATTCATCGACAGCCTGTCAAAAGAAGACCACAGCATCTGGAAAGCAACGAAATCATTCAAGAGGCCTACACAGCACATACCACCTCTAAGGAAAGACGATGGAAGCTGGGGAAAAACTGAACAAGAAAAGGCATCAATCTTTGCTGCACATCTCTCACACGTTTTTGGTGCACCTGAACTTAATAACCATAATGACGAAGAACAAGTTAAAAACTTTTTATACACTCCATGCCCAATGATGCTACCAATCAAATTCTTTACTCCTAATAATGTAAAAGAACAAATTTCTAGATGCAATAACTACAAAGCACCAGGCTTCGACATGATCACCGGCTAATATTAAAAAAATTACCGAGAAAAGCAATTGTCCTACTAACAATGATATATAATAGTATCATAAGATTAGCCTACTACCCGATTAATTGGAAGTTTGCACAAATAATTATGATAAGTAAACCAAATAAACCACCAAATAATTTACTTCATATAGACCAATCAGCTTACTTCCAATAATGTCAAAAATCTTTGAAAGACTTCTGCTCCAAAGAATCTCAGAAGACATCGAAATTAATTCAGTGATCCCAAACCACCAGTTTGGTTTCCGCGAAGCCCATTCAACTCTACAACAGTGCCATAGGATTGTAAAAAACATTAATGTATGCCTCGAAGAGAAAAAAATTTGCACTGCTGCCTTCCTGGATATAGAACAAGCCTTCGACCGTGTTTGGCATGACGGCCTCCTATATAAACTTAAGTCATCCTTTCCCACCCCTCACTATCTTCTTTTAAAATCATACCTCACAGAACGTTACTTTCAAGTCAAATTCCTTACAGAAACCTCTCATTACTATCCCATAAAATCCGGTGTCCCTCAAGGAAGTGTCCTGGGTCCCCTCCTGTACCTCATATACACTGCTGATATCCCAACAACAAATACGACCACAGTAGCCATGTTCGCAGATGACACCGCCATAATATCCATCGATGATGACCCCCAAGTAGCATCAAGAAACCTTCAAATACACCTGAACCTAGTACAAGACTGGATGAATAGATGGAAAATCAAAGTTAACCATAATAAGTCTAATCAAATTACATTCACCAATAGGAACATCATATGTCCGAGAATCAGACTGAACAATATACTACTACCAGTAAAAACAGAAGTCAAATACCTGGGAATGACACTTGATCAAAAACTCACTTGGAAAGCACACATACTGGCCAAAAAGAACCAAATCAACATGAAAATACGTCAAATGAATTGGCTAATAGGCCGAAAATCACAGTTATCAACAGATAATAAACTTCTATTGTATAAGTGCATAATAAAGCCTATATGGACATATGGAGTGCAACTATGGGGCTGTGCAAAGCCTTCTAATACCAAAATCATTCAGAGAATCCAATCCAAAATACTCAGAATGATTTTCAACGCGCCGTGGTACGTTAGTAACAAAACTCTGCATGATGACTCTGGTATACCGTTCGTTGAAGACGAAATCAGCAGACTAACAAGAAATTATTTAGAACATCTGCCAACCCACCCCAACGAGGAAGCAAGACAACTACACCTCCAACCAGAAGTCAGACGAAGATTGAAGAGACAGTGGCCAACAGACTTTATACACTAATTTTAATTTTAATTTTACTTTTCATCTCAATTTTAGTTTTAAATTATAATCATACATTAATTTAATTTGTTAGTGTTAGTATTGGGAGTGTTATCAATGGATAATTTCTCCTCTCATGTATTTGCAATAATCACATTTACTAATAGCTTGTAATAGCAGATTGTAAATTTGCAAATTTAATAAAAAAAAAAAAAAAAAAAATTTGTTTAATAAATATTTTAATATTAGTTGCTGTTTAGTGTTAATCTATATTATAACTATCTGTAAATTAATGATCGCCATTACCCATAGGTGTGGGTAATTGCGCTCAAGGCACTAATTATATTTTGTTGTTCTAACCAACAAACATAAATAATTTTAGTGCAGTTTTCTTAATCAAATGCTAGAAGAATAAGTATTCTTTACTCAAATTAATTTTCAAGGCTTTTTGAATAAAGTAAGTAAATAAAAAACAAGTTTTGGCTTAAGTGAGCGCAGTTCCCCCCTGCTCCCTTAACAAGTTATTGATGTTTAACTTTCCATTCTCTATTTGTACCGGAAAACAAAGATTTCTTCTACATTTCAGAAGGAAAATCCTTCTGTTGTTGAGTGATGCAAGCTTGATGTTGAAGTTGGCCTATTATTTTAAAAAATCTACGCTAGCAGAACTATATCCCCTTCGGATGTTCTCAAAAAATCCCATCACAAGAAATAGTGGATATTAGTGACTGCCGATATAAACAAACAACCAGTTTATTAGGGCTGCAGTCAGAAAGTTAGCCGGTATATTAAAGAAGAAACCTTTGTTTTCCTCTACACAAAGAGAATGAAAAGTTTAACATCAATAACTGGTTACATCATAAAGGAGCGTCTTAAAAAAGGAATAAAACAATTCCGAAAACTAGACAAAAAGTCAAAAGAGTGTTTTTTTTGTGGATATTTCATCAGAGCAATAACAAGCTTTTGCTAAAAGTTTCTAATCGTTATACAGCCCAGAAGAACAGAAAATGATTTTACTAAAGTATAAATAAAATGATAAATTTTATATATTTTGGAGAGAAAACCCTTTCGGGTTTGCAAGATACGTATATATGTATTTAATAAAAATAGAACCTTAGAATTGTGGCTTTAACGCATGCTATAGACGGGGCCCATATACCGGTCAATTTAATTGGTTCTCCACTTTCTTCATCTACGGCTTCACTAAGCATTTTTCTGTATGGACAATCCTCAGAACCTGGAGGTTTCATTGTTGGTCCGTAAATCTATAGATATTGGTTTTTTTAATACAACAAACTAAATGTTAAAATAATCTACAATATGGGCGATAATTAAAGGACAAGGCAATGTTAAGTACTACTATCAACATACAGGAGGTTTCTTACAAGAGATATTCTTTTCGACAATAATAAGCGGGTAGTAAGTACTTAGACCATGTTATGAGAGGGCAGAGATACGCATTATTGTAGCTTATTATGCAAGGCAAAATTCGAGGAAAGTGAAAGTGTGAAGTCAAAGAATATCGTGGCTTAAGAACTTAAGGGAATGGTTTAAGGTTAACTTAAGGGAATGCAGAACTATTTAGAGCGGCACTCAACAAGGTCTATAGCCATGGCGATTTCTAACCTTTGATAGATGATGGAACTTAAAGAAAAAGGAGAATTAGTGGTTTTAAAAAAGCGTCAAACAATATAGAGACGGAAAAACCTAAACTACGTATGACTTATCTGAAAGAATTATTTAAGCCATAAATCAAATAAAAAAATGAAAATCCAGAAATTAGATACATTATATACAATTAGGAGAAAATACAACGCTTCCATTCACCCTCATATAATGTCATCGAAGCAAAAATTGTTTATATATATATATATATATATATATATATATATATATATATATATATATATATAAGCGAGGTTCCTACAGCCTCTGCCGTTTCTCGCATTTCGACCGCCATAGTTTTCTGTCCATCCATTCGTCTTCTCTGATGGCTCTATCTCTCATTATGTGCCGTACATTTTCTTCCCGTACATATTGAAAAATTGAAAATTAAAAAATTTTTTATTACCAGAATAATAACATACGATGTTAACATACGTACCTAGACTCCGACAAAGTTTAGTTTGGGAATATGACTCATAAATCCACGATGCGCATTGGTTCTTGTTTACTAGTGTTACCATAGAAACGGCCAGTTTACTGTTTGCCAGTGTCGTAGTTGTGTATCGCAGAGAGTGTTTGACTTGTTGATTTGATCGTGTTGGATATTTTATTATTTTATTTTATATTAGTGCTTAGTATAATATTGGTATTAGTAATTAGTGAATTATTAAGTCATTTAGTCATTAGTGTATTTATAGTGTGTTAGGTTTAGTTATTTAACAATATGGCTTCTAAGAAGATAGGAACAAAAGGGCTGAGATTAAATAGCCCAGCAAAGGCAATAATTTATAATGTTACTACATTCATAGAACAAGAGGCGGCATATTTCGAAGCAACCGAAAACCTGTTAATACCTTTAAGGAAATTGACGTAAGTATTGTCAATGATATTTTATTTTCTTATGTGTGTGTAAAAGATATGACACGGAAACAAGTCCATCGGCCACATAATGTTTTATTTATGTTTAAAGATATTTTTTTTGTTCTTGTTTGTTCCTTTTTTTTGATATATGTATAAATCACTGAAGTTATACTAATTTATATTTCTACTTTCACATTTAAATGTAAAGTGGGGTGTATCTGGAAATATGTATTTTGTCAGTTTTCAACAATATTCTCCCATTGCTGTTACTATTTCAGTCTAATTTTTCATTCCCTGGTATACCTACATGGCCTCTAACCCAAATAAATGTTATATTTAAATTTACAATCATGTTTATTAAACAACATAATATAGGACACTTCATTCCTTCAAATTTTGTATTTTTTGAGTATGTTTTTGGATATTAACCATGTTATATATTGAGTATGTTATTGGATGTTAATCAGGTAGTACAGGTTTCTAGTAAAACACTGATATAGATACATTTTTAACAAAAACGGTAGATACAATTCATTTACATTTTTACTTACTTAGTAAACAAGATTTACTTTCAAAATATTTTAACTATTTCTATTTATTTAAGGTATTTATCAAAAACTAAAGAACAAAGAAATGGGATTTCCATGGTTAAAGGAATCATTAAGGAAAATCATAATTGGATTAGGCTTTAGGTAACACAGTAAAATAATTATTTAGCTGAACAAATAAAACTATAATGGATAATGTAATTTAAATTGATATTTTATTGGCATCGTTTTAGTTAAACTTATGATGAATATGAATAGTGTCTTTTCAAAAGTACTAAATATTTGGATAATCTATTTCGGTTCCGGTTTCCGAAAAACTGTAAACAAAAAATACGATACGATTCTACATAATTTTTGTTTTTAACAAATAAATTGTTCTCACTTCTGTATGTTGTGATACATTTGAAATTTAAAACCATCATACTTTTGAAAATATATTCTTCAAATTATCTTGAACAAATTACAGGTGGAGAACAACCGAAGACAATAGGAGTGTCCTAATGGAAAAATATGAAATTCTTTTAAAACGAGTAGAATATTTAAAGAAGCTAATTCAATTTCGATCTGAGGGTAGAACCATAGTTTATACCGACGAAACATATATACACGCCAGCCATACTCTACCATATCAACTGGGCAGATCAAAGTGGAAAAACTTTAAAGAAATCAATTTAACCGGAATTATAAAAAATTATACAAGCCAATAAACCACGTTTTCCACGAGTTTATGTATTAGATTATGAGCTTGAACAACATGGACATAAAGTACTTCGCTTGCCTCCCTATCATCCGGAGTTAAACCCTATCGAAAAAATATGGGCTTTGGTAAAAGGTAGAGTGGTCACTCATAATACAACATTTAACATAAATGATGTTGAAAATATAACAAGAACAAAATTTTCAGAAGTGTTAATGAAAGTGGTCTAACATATGTAAACACGTAAAAAAATATGAAAACACTCAAATCGCAAAAGAACATTTATTAGACTCTACGCTGGACCACTTACAATTTTTATTAATACTGGTTCATCCGAAGAAAGCCTTTCTGATAATGAAGATAGTGATTCAAATTCCGGAATAGACGTGTTTTTGTGTGATATTCCTTTGTCATATAACAAAACATAGAAGTCTTTACAATCATTACTGTTTAGAAAATAAATACATTATTTAATTAGTTAAAATAAATTACTTATTTTTTTTTGTGTTGTTGAAACCCTTCCTTCCTTCCTGGCAATGTTAATAAATTGTAAGTATTGAGGAATTTGTTATTTATTAAAGTACTCCTAATAGTTTACTCATTATTTTATCGAATGCCTGACTATAAACTTCATAGATATTAAAAACTATAAAAATAAAAATTGACATATTCATTCTCATTTTAATTGAATATACTTATAAAAATTTATTTTAAAGCTACCGGTTTCCATCCGCCACTGGTAGAAACGGTCCGCCCGTCTGCGCGAAACACTACGTCACATTCCCAAACTTAAGTTTGTCGGACTCTACAAACTGATGCAAGAATCTTGAAAATAGGAATACAAATAAAAAAGTTGTAAATTGTCAAACGTGATTAAAAATTTTTAGTAGCGGAATTTTGTGCCGTGAAGTGTACAATATACATACATCTTACTTGAGGCAAAGAAAGTTTATATAAAAGATGAATAGTGTAAAATAGAGATGTAAGTGTTTAATACACTTATTCTTAATTGAGTAGAAGAAAGTTTATAATATGAAAGATGAATAGTACAAATCAGACATCTAAGTGTTTAAGACAAAAAATTTAAAAACATATGATGATAAAAATTATAGCGTAAAATATTAAAAAATATATTACAATTTCTAGTAGTAGTTGATCCATGTCTTCGATCTCTGCACCATGACTAGGTTTGACCACAATTATAAGACATTGATTGTTATAAAGATCATATAGTGAGTATTCATCAAATAGATAGTCTTCTTCTTCTTGCATTTCTTGAAAATATAACATTTGTTCTAGTTTTTCTTCAGTCATATTTACCTATATAACAAGGAAAATCAATAAGATAATCTCTTACATATTACAAATAGGAAGCAAATAGAAGTGAATGAAAAACAAGCATCGGTATATTGGTATTATTTAAAAAGCCCAAAAACAACAGAAGAATATTATTGCTGGAAATAGTATTAATATTTTTAGAAAACTTTAGCTAGAAATTAAAAGATAGACGTCATCAACAGACGTCATCTTAATAATTCGCCAAATAGAATAGAAGACTGTTGAATATAAGAGACCCGCCTTCAAGCACAAAGCGAAATTTGCCATATAAAATCCTTGTCTGATGCGCAATTACTAATAGGGGAGTATCACTACTTTTTGTGGGAAGCGTGAGGGAAGAAGTCACACATCATAATCATTAGTTCAATATATAATAAATCAGGGCAAATCCTTGCCTATGCTGATGATATCAATATTGTCGGAAGAACGAAAAACGCTGTACGCTGTAACATTTGGTACCTGAGAAATATAAAAAGGATGAGTTATAAGTTTTTGAGCTTAAGGTAGGTAGTTGAAGTTAATAGGCTTTTGGTGTGTATTGAAAAGATATGTACAAACTGCAAGAGTAGTTGGGTTGTAGGTGGCTCTATTAAATTTAACTAAAGGTATGTTATGTTTTAATATTGTTGTGAAAAGAGATAAGACTCTACAAAAGGCTGAAGTCTCCAGATATCCGAAACCCTGAGAGAAAAGTGGATGAGTAAAAAGGTGTGGCAAAAACAGAATAAAAAGGTGATGATATGTGGATAAGTAGGTGAAGATGTATGATAATGAATGATTTTAGAGGGAAAGTAGAATAATCTGCTCTGAATTTAGTTTGTCGAAAAGAAGCATGGAGAATATTAGGTATAGGGTCAGACTTGACGCTTAGATTCCTAGAAAGAAGTAGGAAAGATATAGAGTTGGATTTATTGAAAAGAGTTTGAGAGGACCAAGGAGGATTAATAGGTGGCAAGAGAAGAACGAGAAACTAAATTATAATAAAGAAGTAAAGTGAGGATGTGGGTTATGAGAATAGTTGACGATGGAGTGGAAGGAAGTCTCGATTGAATAAGACATGGCGATTAACACAAGTTGGATTTCCCTGTTTTTCTTTAATACTTTCTAGGTCTTCATATAAGTCTTTTTTCATATAAGTCTAGTTTGAGAAAGTTTTTTTGAGGGATATTATGAATAAGTGATACCTGGGATCCTGAGGGTGTGGTTATATTCTTTAAGATGTTGAGAAAAAGTATTTTTTCTTTTTGTGTGCTCTAAATGGTCTACATGTTCTTCCTCCTACCTAGGATCAACTCAATCTTAAATATTGCTGGCTTCTGTCATATTTAGACAACTACCGTAAGTTGCACTGACTGCTTTGTTCCGACATCCGTCCTAACATGTCAATATTGTCATTTTAATCAGTTGCTATCACCAGGTCCTCGTAGACCCTTTGTCTTAGGACCCATTAATCTTACGTAGAGTCATACGTCACCATGTTACTAATTCCACTGATAACTTAAGCATCTTAACTTTTAAGAACATATAATGTAACAAAAATTTAAATTAACAACATTTAACGGGTTTTTACCCATATATTTTAGTGGCTTAAAACATGTATACTTAGTAAGTATTAACCACATTTTGCATTAACCTTAGTTAACATTTCAAATTTTACGTTCTTTTTAATTATTAAAGTGGTTGTATACTTTCAAGTTACACTGATGATGAAATTTACATTCCGAAAACGTTCTGTAACTGTAATATAGCCCGTTTGGGTATTTTATTATATACCTTTTATAAAGGATTTTAATAAAAATATTTGTGAAACATGGTATACAGTCAGCTACAGGAACTTAGTTTCCTAGTGTATTACTATCTTAATATGTTTTACCATATCAGCTTCCTGGTATATTCTATAAAGTTCGAAGTTGTATCCTCTTCTCATACGCAAGCATATCAGGTTATCTAGAGTCACCTAAAGGTCACTAAGAGTGGTTTAACTACCAGTCTCACAGTTAAAACTGTTTTTTATTACAAACATGATAACATTTAAATAACATTAATATCATAATATGCTGTAAGTTTCTACAAAACTTTACCAGTTCTCTTACTTAAATTGAGCTGATGATAAATACATATTAGTTTTGGAACCAAATATTTTAATACATACTTAATAAGTAAATACCTTTTCAGTTTGAGTAGCAATAACGCTGGCTTCTTTAAGTAGATCATCTAAAGCGTCGTGATATCTATCTCTTCCGCTCGGAAATATGAGTATGGTACCCAAGTGTGATAAATTTTCTAGTATATTGTTGCACTCTGCTACTTTTCTCTCGTGAAATTCTTTTTCTCTTTTTGCTTCTTCTTTCTCTCTGGCGGCTCTAACAATGGCTTCTGCGGCCTCATGTCTTTGTATTTCGATTTCGTCTAAGTCGGTTATTTCCGAAACATATTCCCTACAATATTTAAAATAGATTAAACTAAATAAATATTTTGTTATAAAAATTTTGCAGTTGCTTTAAAAATACGTTTAAAAAAAATGGAAAATGGCATATCAAAATCAAACCAAAATTTTTAAAATTAATAAAAACAAAATTAATAAACATAAAAACATATTGTTCATAAAAAAATTATAACTTTAATAGATATGTGGCAAATAATACTAGTTTGCTCCACAGGTAAAGTACTAGTATACTCTACATAAAAAGAAGCCAAAACACCAAACGCAAGCACGCCCAATGCTACGGAATGTCATTGCTTATTAAGATTTTCAGTTAAATAAAATCAATTTGAAACACTAGAGTTTAATTTACATTAAACATTTCAATCGTAGATTTAAACTATTAATGGGATATTAATGTCTCCTTTTCATTGATTATGTTGCTAGGAATATCAACCATCAACAACCTAATCAATAAGCTGAGAAAGATAGAAGTAGTTATTAGAATTAAAGGCAAATAATTTATAATCAAAAGACTGATATTTTTTTGTACACACTTATGACAAGTCGAAAGAAAATGCAAAAAAGTATTTTTGAAGTGTGTATATTTTAGGCAATTCCTAGCTGAGCGCTTTCGGCTTTACAAAGCCATCATCAGAGCTATGCTACAATAAAATGTTCTTATAAGTACTAATTGGTAAAGATTGTAATTTTTAACTTACGTCAATTTTTTAAATACCACTACAAAGGAGAGATCTCATTTCCTTAAATTTCAAAATTATGATTTTGTAGGTGTTGAAATTCTTAAAACATATAAAAAACATATAAAAAGCCGACACTGGACTTCACAAACACGTTAAAAAATTGAAAAAAAATTTTGTCATGGTACGGGTGTAAAACCCGACCATTGATTGATGTGAGGACGTAGACAGAATAGAACTAATGAAATCAAATGTCGGTCCTTTTAAACGATTTTTCAAAAGTGACAGTTGACAAATGTCATATATAGGAAATAGAGATTGTTTTTTTAAATTCTTACAAAATTATTTAGTAGTTTGGAATTACTAATAGTCATCAAAGACTTTCTAAAAATTAAGTTTTTAAATTAAATTTTATGTGTTCATCACATCATACAGAATGACATTAGTTTGTAAATTCACTCAAGTCATTGCTCAAGGTCAATGTATGTTCAATCTGACAGCTATCCTTAAGAAACAAGGGCTCAAATTGTTCAACAACAATATAAAGAAGAAACATGGTATTAATGTTACGTTATCTGATACTTAAGTGTATTAAGAATTGTATCTCTTGATGGAAAATTGTAAGAAATTTGCATAAAAAATTTTTTAAGAATGTATTTTCATGTTTCAATTAAGAATAACTGTCAAATGAATTACAAAATAATGTAAATTTCTAATAAAGTTTAAAATTTGTTTAAACATATAAAAGTATGAAAAATATATAACAAGATTGCATGAGGTCACCCTTCTTCCTCTAAAGTCTCCCATAATAATTTAAAAAGAGGTTTATAGTTGCAATTGAGGTTGATTTGTGTGTTTAAGCAACAATCAGGGTTTAGTTTCATTTCTTTGGATATCTCTAGATCTTCCAAGAGATTCATGAGTCTAAAGTTTTTATTGGGAATGTTGTGTAAAATTTTACTGTTTTCAGAAGGAGAAAATGAATGATTATTAAATTTAATGTGATATCCAAAGTTTGATTTTTCTGGGTTATTGAGGTGTTCTTTGATTCTTTGATTCAGAGTTCTCATTGTTCTACCTACATAAGTCATATTACAGTCACCACAGGACAGCTTGTAAATACCACTTCTGTTTAGTTTGTCAACTTTGTCTTTGGTCTTGCTGAAGATGGACTTGATGTTATATTTGGTTTTAAAGGAGATGTTTAAGTCACTAATTTTATTCACAAGTACTCTTGAAATTTTTTCTGAAATTGGTCCTAAGTAAGTTAAGGATCTATATATGGAAGTAGTGTTGGATTTGTTATCAACATTAAAAGCTTGGTTTAGTCTCTTTTTGAGTATAGATTTTCTAATGACTTTATCAACAGTAGTAGAAGGAAAACCATTGTTGTTTGCTATCTGTTTAATGATGGAGATTTCTTTATTTTAATTTTCTTGAGACATAGGGATATTAAGAAGTCTGTGGACATAACATTGAATAGCTGCCATCTTGTGTTGAAAAGGGTGATTTGATGATGTTGGTATCATATGGTCAGTTTGAGTAGGTTTTCTGAATATTGAAAATTCTAGTGTAGGCAAAGAAGAAAAGGAGGAAGTATTCTTTTTAATAGTTAGGTTTAAAAAGTAAAAATAAGTAATAAAAAAAGTAAAAATAATTTATAAATAAGTATGAATAAAACCAGCTATTATAGAAAACACTGGTTCATTAATACGGAATATTATCCCCTCGGAATGTATAGTTGTAGACCCTCATTGCTGATATATTAATACTGATATTTTGATCAAAGGGAACACTCAAATGATTTAAAGTCATTTTAGATCAGAGAAATTAGCAAAAAAAAGCCTTTTTCGTGACAGTCGCTGAGATAGGTATCTAATAATAATCTAATGTTCTAATCTAATATTTAAACAAAAGAGTTAGGTTCACGTATAGTGCGTCTGTATAATCCGCTTATACTTATTTCACCCTAAAAGAGATCTTCAGAGCGGCTACTCACAGACGCTGTGAACGTGAAAATAAATCTTTCCTGTCGTAGTAGAAGCAACACTAACATGGCTTCGTATGGACGCAAATAGCGACTTCTTCTTCTTGTGGTGCCTATCCGTTACGGACGTTGGCTACTAGCATGGCAATTCCAACTTTATTAACCGCAGCTCGAAATAGTCCTGAAGTGGTCAAGGGAAACCACTTTCGTAAGTTCTGGAGCCAAGATAGTCTTTTTCTTCCTGGTCCCCTCTTTCCGTAGACCTTTTCCTGTAATATAAGTTGCAGCAGGTTATATCTATGGTCGTTTCGCATTATATGTCCAAGATATTCTAGATTGCGCTGTTTCATTGTGGATCTAATTTCACATGTTTTATCTATCCGACGTAGAACCTCAGTTCTACAACAATGCCATACAACAGTAGCTAATACTATTTTAACTAATACTACAATACAACAGTAGCTAATATTATTTTCTACAAAAAATAAACTTCATACTATACTACCTTGGTTTTTCTCCACTTACGGCTTGTTCTTCATTTTTTAGTTCCTCTAAGATGAGACGCGTCAATTGTGGTGCATTACAACCAAAGAGTAAATTAACTTTTTTACCTTTCTGGAAAATAGATAAATTTAATTACTAAACATACCAATCGATGTGTCAAAGCTTTCTTTGAACACACCATTGGAATTAGTAAAACGTAATAATAATCACTTAAAAACTTACAGATACAAATAACCAAGTTGGTTCACTTCTTCCTCGAAATCGTGATAGCTGTTCAATGTTGTCACTTTTTGCCTACAACGTGAAAATAAATTATTTGATTACTTATTTTCTTTAAAAATCAGTTATAATTAAGAAGAGTCTCAACCCTTTTATTATCATGTAGATATCTATTTTTATGTCTATAGCTGAACGGACTCGCTCAGTACGATATCATAACCTAATTGTTTATTATTTAGGAACTCACAACGTGTTTACTCTTAAAAAGTCAAACAGATACACTAGTGAACTCTAAATGAGAGTCTGCTTAAACTTTTGCAAGCATTTTAGATGTGGGTATATATAGGATTACTAAATTGTGTAGTCACACAATTACAAAGAATGTTTAGCTGAACCAAACAACAAAATTGGTCAATATAAAAAGAGATGCAAGCTGGAATTCGCATCTCATCATAGACAAAAAGATCCAATATATAATGTGATCGTGGCAGAAGAAGAACATTGGTTTAAAAACTTAAGACTCATTAACTTTGTCACGGTAACTGAATAAAAAAGGACTAAGAGATGGCGGAAAATAAATGCATGTTGATTGAAGTATTACTGCTTTAAGAATAATAACGCGTTTATTACGTATTATGTTCTATAATAATTTATTGTACGTACTATTGCTAATTGCAGTAAATCTCCTCCTTGGTCTAATTTAATTTTTTTAAGATTTGCTGCCATTCCAGAACAAGGTCCACACCAGTCTGAGTAAACGTCTATAACTAAAATTGATAAAGTTAATAATAAAATAAAATATTGAACTTGAATAAACGTTGTTTTTTAAAATCCCATGATATTAATGGTATACTCTAAGTGTGGGCTCATAAAATCGTAGCATGGTTTTAAAAATTCCAGTGTTCACCGTCAAAGCGCAGCGCCCAGCCTCGAGCCAGGTATCAGACCATAGAGTTGGACCATAATGTTGCAGCATTATATTGGTATTGGTCCGGATTTAAATCCGATTGAAAATCTTCAAATGGTTAAGCTCAAAAGAACAAGTGGACCTAGAAAGATACATAGAGAAGAACAGAGAGGTAAAAAGATTAATAACAAAAGATAAAAATGATAACTGGGAATTAACATGTATGAACATCGAACAATACATAGGAGATATAAAGAATTCAGAATCCTGGAAAGTGATATAGAGTCTGAAAGAAACCACACAGGAAAAAACACATTTTACTTTCATAAGCGAAAAACAATGGAATGATTACTACCAAGAACTCCTGACAGAAAAGCGAACAAAATTCATGGAAAAAGAACAACAAACAACAAATACAAAGGAACAACTAAATTTATCATTGGAAGAAGTAAAAAAGAACATAAAACAAATAAAAAATAATAAGTCTGCAGGCCCCGGAGGGATAGCACCCAAGCTAATTAAATACGGCTCTGAAAAATTGTTCCGTATGATACATACCATGTTTCAAAGAGCCTTGGACACCGAACAACAACCTGAAGAATGGACGACAGTCCAAATTATCTCTATTTTCAAGAAAGGAGATAGAAGAAAATGTAAAAATTTAAGAGGCTTAAGCATTTTACCATCTATAGGAACATTATATGGCAAAATAAAGGAAAAAATAGAAAAACAAATCCAAAATAAAATAGAGGACGATCAAGCAGGTTTTACAGCTGGGAAATCATGTGTTGACCACATCTACACTATACAACAGCTAATAGAGAAGAAGATGGCAAAGAACAGACCAGTCCATCTAGCCTTTATTGACCTAAAAAAGGCGTACGACTCTGTGCCCGGACAACTTTAAAATACACTCTTTAAAATATTTCTTTAATACAAATTTCTTCGATACAAAATTCTTCAAATGTGAGGGAATGGGAGTACCCATAAGGAACGACCATCTATATACCCTCAGTTTCGCCGACGATCAGGTCATATAAGAACAATACGAGCAAGATCTAAGTTATATGGTTCGAAAACTAGAAGAAGAATATATTATAAATGGCTAGCCTGGAACTAAAGTGGTCTAAGTAACAAAACCACTTTTACGAGAAAATTAAAAAAATCCATTTTAATGTATAAATCGGTTGGTACAGGAACTAAAACCAAAATTTTTGTACAAAAGTTTAATTACGGTTACCAAAAATCTTACAAACATAAAAAAAATCCTTACTGATAACTGAACTTCATTTTGTTAATTTTTTTTATTTAAAAATGTAACATAGACCATTTTAGAATTATTAAAAATAGTTAAGTAAACTTATTCATCCAAGTCTTCACCTCGAAATGGTGGTAGTATGTCTTCATTATCCTCCCTATCACCTCTGCGATTGTAATGGGGTTAAGAAAGATAAAATGGATGATGCAAAGGAGGTACAAATTGTAGCATGTTTTTATATCTTTCATTTTATTAAAAGATAAGGGTCTAATATCTGCGGCAACCTCCGGGGAAAAGTTTTTTAATACCTGTGCAAATTCTTGAAAAGAATTCATTTTATTTAGATCTATAGCATTATAAGTATTCGAGTAATCATCATTGAAAAACATTACCGATGTATCTTTGGAGAACTTAATTCTGCGTATTTGAGAAATCATGACGCCAGAACTTCGCAGGGCATGAGGTGACTTAAAAATCTTCAACTTGTCGAATGACACAAACTTATCCACCATGTTTTTTACACGAAATGGGTGGCGCTTTCGATAATTTGAAATTAATTCCATCCATGCTTCAGGAGTGTACACTGGGGTTAAATTCTGTGCCCTACTAATAAATGAAAAATCGCCATCGTTTGGTAAATATGTGTGACCGGTAACCAGATAATTTACATAGATATCTTGAATGTTCGGTAAAACGTTAACCATGTACATAAGAAAATGTAACAAATTCCAATTCCGATTTTGTCCCCCACAACAGTCACTAAAGAGAACAAGTTTTGTAGCATGAGGAGGAATGTCATTTTTAAAATAGTGATATAAACAACTTATCACTTCTTGAGAACCTCTAACCCGTTTTTTCGTTTTCTCCACCACTTTCATAAGTATGAATTCCTAAGTTTAACATATGCATCTGCCTTAAGTAATACACCTCACCGGTATTTATGTGAGGTAAGGGAAGTGTTCTTTCCAAATCAAATGTAATTAATACACCTGTACTGTCCGGCTTTACACACTCGTTTTTGTAATCTTTCAGAAGTTTCCTAGCTTTTTGAGCCAGAGCAATATGCTGGCCCCTTTCTATTTTTACTTGTTCTGATTTTTCTTTATTACTTTCGGCATTTAAACTTATTTGAAATGCATCGCAAAATTTGCAAGTATCTTTTTTAGGTATATAGAAATGAATATTAAATTCGGTTCTAAAGATTTTTTCATAGATACTTTTTTTAAGAACTGGTTTTCCTTCAATAATTAATTTACATTTAAACAGTTCGTACATTTTGGAAATATTTAAAGAGGGTGCAAAATATTGGCGCTTTGAGGTTCTTTCTCCATAGTGGCTCTTAAATTTAGGAAAACTATTAATGTGATTACGAATCCACTTCAATTTCTCCTCGTTTATTTTATTTCCAGGAACTTTTCTTCCTCTTCGACCAGGGAAGGGATATCCCTATTTTCGGCTTTTTTTACTCTTAGTGCATAATCTAATCGATGATTACTTATTTGTAATACTTTAAAAAAAAATTTACACACGTTCTGACCATTTAGTTGAAATATCCGTGAATATTGTTTACGACTCAGAGATTCTGGGTGTATTTTTTTTCGGGGACATTTAGGTGCTTTAGTTCTAACTGTACCACACAACCAGCTAGTTTGAGCGTTCCAATCCTGTAGTTTGTAAAATCTGTCATGTACCTCTCTCTGGACATTCTCTGGCACTCTATTACTGCATTTTAGATGACAATTACATTCAATGTAAAAAAACGTTTTAGCGGCCATAACTTTCAGTTTTATACTAATGTATTTCTCTCCTGAAGCTCTACATCTCTTTCTGACGTATTTCCCCCATAAAGCCTCTTGTTTCATTTTCTTTCTTAACTTTCTTATTTCAGTTTCGTCCGGTTCTTGAATTTCCCCAAGATTTTCCATGTTTTGATTCAACAACACAGGTTCATGTTCAACATCGGAATCTGTAACAAGAGGAGGTAGTTCAGTATGTTTCCTTAAAACAATAACATTATGTAACGTTGCGATGCGTTAAAGCTTTGTTTTAATTAAGCTGTTATTTAATAATGGTTTTAAAATAACTCTTAAAATACCTATTAGGGGCAGACAAATTTAACAAAAATGTAGCTTATTTTGTTTTAATATATTAATTTCTTTGAAAAATAAAAAAATATGGCAACAGTGCGCATCAACAGATTAATGTAAAAACATCAGCACGTGGATTTTCCTACTAGTTACTACAATCACTTTCTTTTTAAAATCAACTGCTTCCCTCATTGGTTACTAAACTATAATATTTTATTTAAACATGCACTTACTTGTATTTGTGTTACTATCTCTTGCATCAGAATCGCTGCCATCATTATTTGAAGGTATGTACTCATCTTCACTTGAACCGGGATAAGGTTCTGAATCAGTTTCGTCATGAAATTGTCTCGCAGTTTCCACTAGTCTGCGTGTACGAGACCTTATTGAAATATTCGTAGTCATTTTTCACATTAACACAACCGATCTACTAACTAAATAACTGCAACATCCCGGTTTGAGGTTAGTACCAATGACATTAGCGCCACAGTGTTGCCGCTCTATTAATAATTGTTGATTAATGTGCTTCATAGACCACTTTAGAATTTAGAATTTTTACATTGGTAGAAATCAATAGGTCTATGATGCATAGTGTTACATAGACCCCTTACGAATTTTAACAAATTTCAATTTCCCCAAAAGTAAAAGTGGTACATTGTTATTTTACGGACTCTGAATGAGATTTAGACATAGACCACTTTAGTACTGATAGATTACTAGCTCTTAAAGTCAAATATAACAAAATCTCAATTTTCATACATATGCGACATAGACCACTTTAGCTCCAGGCTAGCCAAATGGTCTGAAAATAAACATTACCAAAACAGAATATCTGAACACAACACAAGAACCAACAAGAAACCTGGAAGTGGATGATGGGCGTGAAATAAAGGGGACCGATAAATTTAAATACCTGGGGTTCATTATATCAAATAAATGTACTACAGAAGAAGAAATTAAAAATTGACTATGTCAAACCAGAAACTCTATAAGACAACTGAATCTAATCCTATGGGACAGACACATAACAAAAAATAATAAAAAAAGAATTTATAACACGATGATTCGCAGCATTCTAACATATGGAACAGAAAACTGGGTCTTAAACAAAAGCAGCAGGAACAAAATAAACGCCACAGAAATGGACTACTGGAGAAGAAGCTGCGGCGTTTCCAGAATGGACAAAACAACTAACGACGAAATCAAAAAAAGAATGGAGATAAAGAAAGACACCTTAAACTACATTGAAGAAAAAAGATTAACGTGGTAAGGACATCTCAGACGAATAGACCCAAACCGATGGATAGCAAAAATAACAGAGTGGTGCCCCATACGAAAACGAAAAAGAGGCAGACCAAGAAGATCTTTCAGAGATGAGGTAGATGAAGCCATGGAAAGAAGAGGATTAAAAGAAGAAGAATGGGAGGACAAAGAAGAATGGAGAAAATGATTGGGAGAAGGGAGACAGCGACAACTTTTATATCTCTATCTATCTATAGCCCAAAATCTATTTATGTATTGAATATAGGCCTCTCACATTTGTCTCCATTTGTCTCTGTCTTCTGTTATAATATATATATATATATATATATATATATATATATATATATATATATATATATATATATATTTGACAAAGAAAACACATTACTACAATGAAAGCACAAACAGAAATGGCCCCTAGTCCCCGGCAGATCTTAGATGATCAAGGGGTACGACGAATCCCCGGGAGGAATAGCCTAAATATTTTAAATACAAACTTTAGGATTGCAACATGGAACGTTAGAAGTCTGTTTGAAGCAGGAAAACTAGCAAATGCATACCACGAAAAATGAAACGTTTAGGGTTGCAGATATTGGGTTTGAGTGAAGTTAGATGGCCACGTTCAGGTAAAGTTAAAACCATGAACAAAACTTTTTATTACTCGGGTAATAATGATCCAGTTCATCGTAACGGGGTTAGAGTAATTTCAGAAGACAAATATAACAATGCCGTCACAAACTTTGTGCCATTTTCGGACCGATGTCTTCAGACCAACTCGACCTGTGAGCAATTTGGTATGAAAATAAACATTAAAAAAACCAAAGTGATGTCAATCCGAAAAAAACCAAAACGTACCTCAACCTTGCATAATAAATGGGCACATTTTAGAACAGGTCAATAGATTTAAGTACCTGGGATATTGGATCGATAGCAGCCTAAATCCTGATCTAGAAAAAAGATCGAGAATACGACAGACCAGAAAATCTTTCGAAAAAATAAAAAAACTGACTAAAAAAAGACTACGTTTATCAAAATGCTACGTCTGGTCGACTCTTCTATATACAGTTGAAACGTAGACCCTTAAAACATCAACCGTAAATAAATTGGAGGCTTTTGAAATGTGGATCTACCGGAGAATACTCAAAATTTCAAGGACATCGCATACCTCAAACGAAGAAGTGCTGCATAGAATAGGCAAGGAAACAGAACTTTTTAACACAGTAAAAGTTAGAAAAACATCATACCTAGGCCACATACTGAGAAATAATAAGTACCAATATGCCCAACTTATAGTGAAAGGAAAAATCGAGGGAACGAGAGGCCTAGGAAGGAAAAGACTATCGTGGCTCAGAAACATCCGACAATGGACAGTGTTAAATTTTGAACAGCTAATAAGAACAGCTGAAGATAGAGAAGAGTTTAAAATTGTAGTAGCCAACCTCCATTGAGGAGAGGGCGCTTTAAGAAGACACCGATCCAACCAAACAACTCACAGGAAGTGAGAGAGAGGCTGATCCAGATTTGGAGAGAACTAGACCAAAATGAATTACGGCAATTAATTTTAAGTATGGGCCAACGATGTGAGGCTCTTATACGTAGTGGAGGTGGAAACACTCGTTATTAAGACTTTTTATATATTTTAGTTTACTTTTCTTATTATTTTTTAAAAATTTTTATACTTTTATTTATTTTCTCCCGAACTTCAACATTAATTTTTTATTCTTTGCCTGTTTACAAATAAAGTTGATTTATTGAAGTGGTGCGTTAATTGAAGTTAATTAACTTGAAGATAGTATATATATATATATATATATATATATATATATATATATATATATATATATATATATAATACTGGTGTAAGATTTTTTCCTTGATAGAGGTAAAAAGCGTATAAAATTAATAAGAGCCATACATTGTGTTTACTATATCAAGTTGTTACAGTTTTTTATAGGATACATAGTTCATAAGTAGCACATTTTAACAATTTAAAAAATAATGGAGCTAAATCTGTATACATTATTAACAATAACTAAGCACCTACAGAAACTATAAATTAGAAAAAAAATGCGTCTGTGTGAAAGGATAATTATCTACTAACATGTAAGTTAAAAATTACTAATTTAAAAACTTATAAGCAATTATTATTTACGCAAACCACCATGTCATAAGAGCTAAATTTCTCTAGAATATATTGATTTACAAGATATATCCAATATCATGATTTTACAATAAACGTAACAAACCACTTTAGAAACAAGAAGTAGCACTTACCTAGTAAACCATCTTTCGCCAAAAACTTTTCCCATTCTTCGTCCGTATTCAGCTCGGCCTGAAGTTGCACTTGCTGACCCTTTTTAGCCATTGTGACAGCTTTATTTTAGTTCTGTTCAATTTTGTGCGTTGCTATGGAAAGTAAAATTATTGAAAAAACTTTCTAAGGTTAGAGGATGCTCTAAACGAAGTTTTTATTTTATGAAACGGTTCTGAGACTGTTTCTTTTGTGGCATTTTTAACTTAGATATTATTTTATGTGGGAATAAAGCATAATGGATTGTATAGAAAAATTACACTTTTTAGTTGCTTTAACGTTTCGATTTTCACCTTGGTAATCGTTTTTAAATAATTCTGAAATAAAAATTATGAGTGATCTTAAAAGCATAACTTTGTATTTTGAGAACGATTTCCAAAGAAGCAACTGAAACATCAATAAACTTATTTTAACCTTCAGTTGTGGTTTATTCCGTATAAAATAGTAATTACCTTAAAATGAAACAAAAAAATAGCTTCAGAACAATATTATCTATTTAAAATAGAAAAGCTAGAGTAATGAACTCACCTTTATATTTTTACAAGGCCATTTTGATAGAAAAATAGCGAAATTCTTATATAATGAGGTTGATGTCCCGATCTCCGGCCTTGATACTTCGGTAAAATATGCGGAAAGGGAGCTTCTTCAGTTTAACTTTTTCGATGTCACCCTCCAGGAGATTGATGATATCGTTGAGGTACAGGGTTTCTCGTAAATCGTTTTTTAAAACACAGGCTTGTTTTAGCAGTTCATTCACTTTGTTAACATCCTCCTAGAAATAAATATTTTAAAGTTTTCAAACATATGGGTAGCATATTTAAACTGCAAACATATGCGTGACAAATAATATGCTGTTTATTTTTTAATAAAAATATATTGGTCCAAAACGATTTCAATTATATAGTAACTTAAAGATGTAAAAAAACAATCATTTTTTGAATACTACCCACTCTTAGTGCTCGTTAGAGATTTGAGCGTTAGAGATTTGAGCTCTAAAATTCATACCAGAAATCTAAATTTTGCTGAGAAAGGGATATTGATTACAAAATTAAAAACGTCAGCCCGTTCGAGAATTTGGGTGTAAAAATAACGAATAAGGGGAAAGAAGAAAAAGAAATAGAAAAAAAAACTATTAAAAGGAAGTAGCGCAATGAGCTCATTAAACAATATTCTAAAAGCAAAAAATGTATGTAGGGTAGCAAAATTTTGAATATATGAAACAGTGTATGCCTGTGAGATCTGGACTATGAATAAGAAAGATGAAATGAAAATGGATATCTGGGAAAAGTGTTGCGGAAGATTTTTGGTGGTATTAGGACGGCAGAGGAAAACTGGCAAAGAAGAATAAATGAAGAGGTAATGGAGATGTATGGAAAATTCCTAATTGTACAAAAAGTCAAAGCACAGAGAGTCAGGAGATTAGGTCACATCACTTGAAGGCCAGAAAAACTTTGCGTAAAAAAGGTGCTTTTTGGATGAGGGGGTAAAATAAAGAGAGGAAGACCACGGCAAAAGTGGTTAGAAGCCGTTAAAGCCGATTTTGAGTTTTGGCAAAAGTTATAAGGCATTTGAAATGTTTCTAGGAACGCAGGTTTTAAACTTTCACATTACAAACTACCGCACGTCTAGGAAAATGCATCCACGAAGACGGTATTGAGTGGAATTGGTAGCTTATGTTGTGTAGTTTCAGAAAAATGTACATGTGTCATCGAAAAGAAGCAGTTTTAAACGTTTTAGATCGTTTGTCATGTAAAACTTTAAATTCAGCGTTTTGAGGCATATTTTAAATGACATTTGTGGCCAAAAATTCAAAAAACGAATTTCAAGCTAGAGGTTTTAAAAATTAGGCTTTAACAATGGAAGTTCATAGTGACCGGTCAACGAAAATGATTAATTCCACCGTTTATTTATTTAAGACACTTATACCCTTACAAAAATTGATCCTATTTGCGACAAAATACAAAAATTGCATACGAAAGCTATACTCTTCATCTTTAAAATGCAGCTTGATTTTTCTCTATAGCATAAATACCCTGATCAAAAAGTATCGAATTTTTACGGCCGAGTTGATACAAATTTTATTTAAAATTAATTTCACGTGCGTAACTGATATTCGAATTGTATAGATGCTAAATTCACATTCTCAACGTTTCTCAACTTTCGAAAAAATGAGAAAAACTGTTGCTTCAATGCAATGAAAAAATTCTTGAAAATTCAGACAATGTGAGTTTTGTACCAGAATGTGGCTAACTATGAGTTTTTCAACCAAATTTCATGGATAATGTTAATGCAAAATATTTGAACTTTGCTTTATTTATATTTTAACCTTAAATTTAACACTAGAATAAAAAAATAAGGTGATTTATATTGTGGGACTAGCTAAAATTGGGACTAAATCAAACTTGCTTTGATTATTTTAGATACACTGTTTAGAATAACGTATTTTTAAACATTAGGCATGTTGACTTCTTCGATGTGTTCACAGACTGACTCGGGTTTTGCATTTTTATCAGCCCTATCGATGACATTTTTGCAGAAGAGTAAATCCTCATTGTCCCTTCACTGGTCCTTATAATGCTTCTTCAACAAGTTGTTAACGTCAACTTGCTTCACTGGTTTGGTGAGTTTGATAAAGGAATCAAGTTTGAAAACATATTCAAAAGCAGTTTTTCTGGCTTGGTTAAAAATTTTGGCACACGCACGTCTGACTTGTATGTGTACTCACCTCTAACCAGAACATTTTTATATGTAGTTCTTGCCAGAATAATCCTTTTGCAGGTCCCCAGTGAAAAATGAAATTGTGCCGGTTTTTTCATGAATCCATTCGTTTCTTTCTTTCAGTCACCTTTACTACTTTTAAATGTTCGGCTATAATATGAATGAACTCTGATGGTTTGTAAATCACCTCTTTTTTCTTACAAACTTTTCTGAGACTCCAAATACTTGGTCTGGTGGAAGATAACTATGACCTGTTTTGGGAAAAAAGAACTCCACCGTATTGGTGCATGTTTAGACAGCCAGAAACAAGCTATGACCCAACTATTGAATTTTTGTTCTGGCCCCACATCTATCACTCTCTAGTCGCACAGTAAGTACTAACAGGACTTTCCATTTGTTGTTTTGAGTGTATCGACAACAAATGAAGCAATTTCATTAGATCCTTTTTTAAACGCGTTTTTTGTCCAAATGTAGGATGTCACATTTTCTGAAGTCAGTTTACTTTAAGAATTCCCTTTGACCACAGTGAAGTAAAGGTAGATTTGCCTATTATAGTAAGTGGTTTGATCTGGTTATTTATGCAAGGGTAGTTTTTTTTGACAATCAAAATTAAAAATCAAAATTTTTGGTCAGTGCATTTTAGTGATTAAAAAAAACAATAAAACACTAAAAACTTTGTTTTCAAACTTCCACAAAATTTATTTTAAATCTGTCACTACAGCTGTTTCGGCTAATTGCCTTTCTCAAGTGATCTATTTTTGGCTTGGGTTTACAAATTTATAGTCTCTAATGAAATAGGTTGAGGAGGGGAGAACTGTTTGTTTCAAGTTGGTCATTCAGAATAATATCTGTGTTTTTTAATTTGTTGATTTTCCTTAGATTCTAACAAAGATAGCTTAAGGTCTTTATTTTGAATTTGAAGAATTTTAAATTTGTCATTAAAAGAATGATTATGATCTAGAAGGTGAAGTGCGTATGTCGAATCTGTTTTTCTATTTTTGAAAGCCCTTTTATGTTCTGCTATTCGTTTATCAAAGTTTCTACCAGTTTAACCGATGTAAGTTTTTGGGCAGTCGCCACATTGAAGTTTGTATACACCACTATTTAAGTGTTTTTTATTTTTGCTCTTGTTTTTTTTTAATATATTTGCCTAGGTTGTTATTTGTTCGGAAAGCTGGTGTTATTCCATTCTTTTTTATGTGTTTGGCAATTTTTGTTGTTATTTTGCCTGTATATGTAATTGAGCAGAAGGTACTGGGTTTTTTTCTCTGGTGGTATTACATATACAGGCAAAATAACAACAAAAATTGCCAAACACATAAAAAAGAAAGGAATAACACCAGCTTTCCGAACAAATAACAACCTAGGCAAATATATTAAAAATAACAAGAGCAAAAATAAAAAACACTTAAATAGTGGTGTGTACAAACTTTAATGTGGCGACTGCCCAAAAACTTACATCGGTCAAACTGGTAGAAACTTTGATAAACGAATAGCAGAACATAAAAGGGCTTTCAAAAATAGAAAAACAGATTCGACATACGCACTTCACGTTCTAGATCATAATCATTTTTTTAATGACTAATTTTAAATTCTTCACGTTCAAAATAAAGGCCTTAAGCTATCTTTGTTAGAATCTATGGAAATCAACAAATTAAAAAACACAGATATAATTCTGAATGACCAACTTGAGACAAACAGTTCTCCCCTTCTCAACCTATTTCATTAGAGACTATAAATTTGTAAACCAAAGCCAAAAATAGATCACTTGAGAAAGGCAATTAGCCGAAACAGCTGTAGTGGTAAGATTTAAAATAAATTTTGTGGAAGTTTGAAAACAAAGTTTTCAGTGTTTTATTGTTACATAAAATGAATTTCTATCAAGTAACGGTGGAATCCATCAATTAATTAAAAAACCTAAGCACTTATAAACATGTTTTTTAGTCAAGGCTCTTGTTTTTCGTTACCTTGCTGAGCGTGTTTTAATCGTTTATTTAACTGTAGACAAGTAGAGCAAACGTCTACCCTAACGGTTCCGAAGCCATGATTGTACTTCATGTTGAAAATTCACCTAAATTACCAGTCTATTGCCTGCAGTCTCTCAAATTGAAGATGATTTACAACGTATGCTGCACCAATGTAATATAACCGCCAGAAAATTTAACATGTTAATTTCCCCAACAAAGAGAAAATGCATGGTTACAACAGCAAATTTACTAAGATGTAAATTGGAGCTGAAAGGTCAGATAATAGAACAAGTAATAGAGTTTAAATATCTAGGCATCACATTATCTAGCTACGGATAGCTCGAAACCGAAGTGAAAGATCAAGTGAATAGAGAAAACAAAGCCGCAGGCTGCCTAAATCAAACAATATGAAAAAACAAAAATATCAGGAAAGAAACGAAAGGAAGAATTTACAAAACAGTCATCAGACCAATAATGACATAGGCGGCAGAAACAAAACCTGGCACAGATAAGACAAAAAGGATGTTAGAAACAGCAGAGATGAAAACACTTAGAAACATGTATGGTAATACACTATGGGACAGAGCTATAAGTACAGATATATGACAGATGCAAGGTGGAGAACATCAAAAACTGGGTAAGAAATAAAAGAGTAGAATGACGATCAGTAGGAATACCACGAAAACGATGGAATGACAACTTACTGGAAGCACATTAAAAACAGACAGTCATGTCTATATAAAAAGAAGAAGAAGAAGAAGAAGAAAATTTGCCATTAAAAGACGAATTCATTGATATACATAACTGAAAATATGAAAATTTGGAGAATGTGAATTTTGACATCTACACAGTGTTAATAATAATTAAAGTATTGTATTTAAACAAATTATTATCAAATTTGATTATTAGTTTTAGGTTCGCTTCTAAAAAAGCTTGCCTATCCCTGCTCAAATATCTCTATGGGTAAAATAAAAATAATCATCATAACTACCCGGCTATGCAATGGGAATGACCCAAATCCCGTCGACAAATATGAACGAACAAGCAAGAAAATTGGTAAGTTCCTCTCACCTGAAAGCTTTTCTTAATATCCGCCAACTCCTGGTGCATCTCGAAAGTTTCCTCACAGATACTCTGTATGCTTTTATCTTCGTCGCTGAGGCCGAGATTGCTCAAAATATTCGCTCTATTCGACACCTGTAGGTAATTACTATCGACAAGGGTCTCGCTTTTATTCGAACTGATGCTTGGAAGGCTGTTACCTAAAAGATACAAAGGATAATTGGCTAGAATGGAAAAGTTCTATAAATTCAAGAACACGTCTCTTTCATTTTTATTGAAATAAAAACTATTTTGGAACGTTTTATGGAAAGAAACGTGATACTGCAGTTAATAGTGGTTTGTAAAAGTAAAATAAATTATATAATACTATAACCTATAACTATTATAATACTATAAGTGTATGCTCTATATAATTGCAAATATTTTATTTGGTAGGTACAACTGTTTTTAATATTGTCTATTGTATTAAAGATTGAACATTTTTTAAATAAAATAATGTTTAATAGGTGATTCAAAACTTGAAACTAAAAATTTCTTAATTTTTTAAATAGATTATTCTATATATTATAACGTAATTTGAAAAAACTTTAGTTGTTTTTTAACTACTGTTAAGTATAATATTTTTCACAATAAAACCGTTGCTCATCACGACTTATACAAAGGGACGTTGTATTAATTATTATTTATAACTGGGAATAAGCCACAATTAAAGATAAAAATACGTTTATTGACGTTTCAATTTCCAATTCGGAAATCGTTCTCAAAATACAAACAGTAAATTAAACAAATTTTGTTTTTTGTTACATAGTGAAAAAATTCTTCAGGAAAAAAAAATTCTATTCACATTCCTAAACGATATAAACGATAAAGAAGAGACAATAACATTTACCATGGAAAAGGAGTATAATAACACGCTACCTTTCCTGGATGTTTTAATCTCTAAGAACGATACTGGATATGAGACTCAGGTGTATAGAAAACCAACACACACCAATAGATATTTAAATTTCAAATCAAATCACAATATTAATGTAAAAAAGGGAATAATTAAATCCTTATACGATAGAGCCAAAATTACTTGTCGTTCTTGGAGGAGAAACATTTGTTAACATCTGTTTTATTAAAAAATGATTATCCTTTATCGTTTATAAATAAGGAATTTTCAACAATCGATCGAATAGAACAGAACAACTTAGGACGAGATCCTACAGCATACACAAGGAATAATATGAGGAAAATAACAATACCGTACATAAAAGGATTATCAGAAAAACTTAAAAGGATAGGAAATAAATTCAACATTTCAACAACATTCAAAACAACAAACACGTTGAGATCTATTTTGTCCAAAACCAAACCTAACAATGAACAAGAAAGGACAAAGAATTGCATTTATAAAATACCTTGCGAATGCGATCAGTTTTATTTAGGTGAATCATCAAGGCCATTAAATGTTAGAATAAGTGAACATCAATCTTATATTAAAAATAGAGAATTTGATAGATCTCAAATATGTAAACACGCATGGGATAATGAACATAGGGTTCAATGGAATAATTCAAATATAGTCCTAAAAGAAACGGATGGTAAAAAAAGAAAAATCAAAGAAGCGGCTCTAATTATGCTAAATGAGGCCAATTGTGTCGCAAATTCCTCGGCAGAATGTAGTAGGATCTGGTTACCAATATTGAAAGAGGAAGTTATTAATAAGAAAATACCAGTATTAGTAAGTCAGTAACATATAGAGGATACATCATTTATGTTTTTAAATTACGTTAAATTACGTGATGTTTGTTGAAGGTAAACTAAATTCACGAACAAATACTTACAATGTCGGGATAGTATTATGAGTTTTTTTTCCTGGTTTTTCCCTCATAATTTACTATGAGATCACTAACAGGAGAACTTTACTGTCATCATGTCATGTGTTTGTCTTTTTAAAGACGAATTAGATGCTACGATTTTTTCTGACGGATATTCTCAAGTTAAAGTTGATTTCACGTAATCGAATGAACTATCTTATAAGTAAAGTCGTCCCAGCAGCGCAACTCAACAATATTGGCAATATCATTTTAAAGTCGTCTACTTTAAAATGCATAATGTATGTCTGAATTGTCAATATAAATGAGTCAGATAAAATTAAATTATTAGAAGAATTTTTTCACTATGTAACAAAAAACAAAATTTGTTTAATTTACTGTTTGTATTTTGAGAACGATTTCCGAATTGGAAATTGAAACGTCAATAAATGTATTTTTATCTTTAATTGTGGCTTATTCCCAGTTATAAATAATAATTAATTTACAATGCCACAAGAAAATAGCTTCAGAACAATGAGGGACGTTGTAGTTAAAATTTCCATGATATCAACCTTGAAGTTCATGTTATACTAATACAGTTAAACATACAATACTCATAAGGAGCAGCTCTGTAAAGATGATGTAAGAAGATGGTGGCAGAAATGTGAACTGTGTGCAACCAGTAGTGGTCCAATTGGTAAAAAGAGGGCACTCATGAAACAGTACAATGTTGGTAGGCCTATGGAAAGAGTAGCAATCGACATTGCAGTTCCCCTTCCAGAGACGAATGATGGAAATAAATATATCCTGGTAACTATGGATTCTTTTACGGAATGGAGTGAGGCCTATGCGATACCAAATCAAGAAGCTGCTATCGTTGCAGAGGTACTTGTTAAAATAATTCTTTAGCTAATTTGGTGTTCCCTTGGAGATCCACTCCGACCAAGGGCGAAACTTCGAGTCAAACCTTTTCCAAAACGTTTGTAAATTGATTGGTGTCAATAAGACCAGAACGACACCCCTTCATCCTCAATCAGATGAAATGGTCGAGAGAATGAACCGAACGATGGGTAAACACATGTCCAAAGTTGTATCAGAACATCAAAGAGATTGGGACCAGCACATTCATTTATTCCTAATGGCCTACCGCTCGGAAGTGAATGAAACTACGGGCCAGACTCCAACCTGCCTGATGTTAGGACATGAAGTTCGTTTGCCCTGCGACCTAAAGTTTGGCTGCAGACCTTCCGAGGAACATGATGCAAGCAAAGATCATGTCGATCGCCTGAAGTTAAGAATGAACAACATTCATGAACTTGCCCGACAACACATCCAGTTAGCCAGTGACATAATGAAGGATCAATATGATTCTCGATGCAAGAATGAAAGGTATGAAGTAATTGATCTTGTTTGGCTTTATAATCTACAACGTCGTCGTGGCTTGTCCTCTAAAGTACAATCGCAACGGGAGGGTCCGCATAAATTTAAAAAATAATAAATAACGTAATATACCGAATTAAGAATTTGCCGAAAGGTAAACCAAAAGTAGTTCACATAAATCGTCTTGCACCTTATGCTGGCTCAAATGAAACAGAAGAAGCCCGAACCCTTCAACATGAAATCAAAGATAACCGGCTACCAAACTTTAATGAATTTATGTCGAATTACGCAGAGAGAAAGAGTGCTTGATTCAACGTGACCACAGAAGTTCAGCAGGATCTTTTTAGTGTTCCGCATTACGTCTCTCTAGCCCACTGTGTTGCCAAAAAGCTTGAGAGTACTAAAGAAATCTCATCTGTATTTTATAAGAAGTTCGGTCGTTTGGACGAGTTAAAAAATCAGCAGCCTAAAGTTGGAAGAGTACTGAGATTAGAAGATGGTCGTCGATCTTTGCTGTATATGGTGACCAGGAAGTCGTAAACCTACAAGCATATATGGCGTGCCCTAGCGAATTTGAAGAAAATCGTGTGCAATTATGACATCAATAATTTGGCCTTACCCTAGATAAGCCATGCACTAGAAAATCTGGACTGGAAGATTGTCACAAACATGCTTGAAGTAATCTTCCGAAAATCTGGCGTACAAATTACTGTGTGTTGCAAAAACCCGAAGAGATCGTGTTATTCAAAGTCAGTAGACTGTTATTTCTTCTTGAGGAGTTCATGCAGAGTTGAAGAGTCCTGTAGATTCCACCATCCTGACAGTACATATAGAGTTGCTGATAGGTATGCTCAGATCTAAGAGGGGAGCAGTGTTACGAAGATGCATTCGACGTAGCCCCTATAACGGTTGCACCTTGGGCAAGGATGACCTGTTCTTCTAGAAGCGACAGGAACTGTCGACCGCTGGAGAGTTCTACCCGACAAACAAACGAGTTAGAGGTGGACTACTCCAGAATATTCTAGTATATAATAACTTGATTAAAGTTTTAATTGATAAGATATATTTATATAAACTAAGAACCTTTCGTTTTATTTAAAAACGGTACAATATGTATGTGAGGTTAATAACTAGCGATAAAACGAATGTAGGTGAAACTGACAGTAGGGCTTTATCAGGGTTCTGTGTTATATGTTCAGAATGTCAAAAAAAATATGAATAGAATATGTTTGGTATTAATATTTTGTACTATCTTAAGGTTTTTTGCCCAAATATTTAGTGGCTTGACTCATGTACACCTGATGAGTATTTAACCACATTGGTTATTTAACCTTTATCAAAACTAATCTTGACGTTTATATTCACCAAAGGAGTAATACTTATTTAAGTAAATGCACTGATGATGGATTTGTTAGTCCGAAAACGTTCTGTTACGATGTAGCACGAAAGGGTAATTTTAATTATATACCTTTTACAAAGGATTTTTAAAATAAACTTTTGCGATCTATTTTATATAGCTAACTACAAGAATTTTATTGTCTTTGTGAAAGTTTAGTAAGAAATTGAAGTTAAAAATGTAAAAAAATAAAGCCACACAATACCATTAAAAACTAATAAAAAGCATGAAAGTAAGTTATTGTACAATATGTTTAATAAAATAAATAAATGCAAAAGTATTGTTTTACCCAAATCGCTAGTCTCAAAGACAAACTGAGGTATTTGAAAACCGTTGGCAGACTCTTCTTCTTCTGGTTCTGGCTCAACAGAATCAACTATATCTTCTAATTGACAATCAACGTCGGTCAAAATTAACTCCATCATTAAAGACATCATATTATCTTCTTTTGTCGCATGATATGTAATGATTTCTTTAAACATATCTTCACTTAGACTTGTGCGTTTATCTTTGATAAAGTGATTAAAATTTGTGGTTTTAACGTTAACTTTTTGTATTAGTTTGTCCGTGGTTTCTTCTTTCATGAGAGACTTGTACCTAAAAATATTGTTATAAAGTTTTTGCTATAAATGGCTATATAAATGTTTAAAAGTTGGTGATAAAAAAATGAATAGTAAAATATATTATAGAAAATATAATTACACATTCTCTTTTTACAAAACTTTGCTTATATTACATGCTCATAAAATAATATTAATAGTAGAAAACCCTTGAAGAAATAACGTTAATTGGTAATTCCATTTTTATCTATCTATTCAGCCCTTGCTGTCCAATTTTGGACATAGGCCTCCTCTTCATTCTTCCACGTCTCTCTACTGTAGGCAGTTTGTATCCACTTCGGGCCTGCGTGTTTCTTCAAGTCATCTGACCATCTCATTTGTGGCCTTCCTCTTTTTCGTTTGTAACTATATGGTCTCCAGTGTATAATCATCTTATTCCATCTGTCGTCTTTCTGTCTTATGGTATGTCCAGCGAACTTTTACTTAAGTTTTGCTATCTGCGTTGATACATCGGTCACCAGAACAATGATTAATGAGGAAAAGGTAAAATGGGCCATATTTTGTTTCACACCCTTTTAAATTACTAGGGCCTAACGGTACATATCCAGCCCCTTTTGTCGAACCTTGTGGAAATATTCAGAGTCTCTTTGGCTCTGAGATACATTTCTAGGAAGTGGAGAGAGGTACGTGTGATCTTCATATCAAAACCAGGTAGGATGAATTACACCCTTTCAAAGACTTTCCGACCAATTAGCCTAACATCCTTTCTGTTGAAAACAATGGAAAGGCTATGCGAGAGGTACATAAGGGATGAAGTTCTGGTCCATAACCCACTTTTCTCAAATCAGAGCATACATATATTCATAGACATTGAGAAAGCGTTTGATAAAACCACATTCTCAACCATCATTCTGGCCGTAAGCGAATGGATATTCAGTATGTGTGTCCACAGGGAGTGGTGCTATCACCACTCCTCTGGAACATAATTCTGGATACCCTGGTTGACCAACTCAGCAGCGACGGTTTCTACACGATAGCCTATGCAGACGACATTGTTGTCCTGTAAAGCGGTAAGTTTGAGAACACACTATGCGAGAGATTACAAGTTGCTCTCCTACTAATAGAAACATGGTGTAAGAAACATTTACTATCTATGAATCCTAAGAAAACAGATGGTCCTCTTTACCAGGAAAAGAAGAATCACAAGCTTAATACCTCCAAGAATTCCAAACTACAGTCTAAATTTTTCTGACGGGGTGTAATACCTTGACATTACCCTTGACCGGAAGTTAACAAGGAACTTACATTTAAATGGTAGAGCTAAAAGAGCATATGCCTTTGAGCAGTGTCGACAAACATTCAGATGTACCTGGGGCCTTTCGCCCAGGGTGATCGCCTGGGTCTACACTGTTGGCATTAGGCCAATGCTAACTTACGGAGCTATTGCTTAGGTATCAAAAGTGCTACAGGCAACAGCGATAAACAAACTAAAACATATTCAGCAGATGATTATATATATAACAGTTGTCATGAAAACAACACCAACTGCTGCAATGGAGTTGATCATTGGCATCACGCCTCTAGATATATATGTCAAAGAAGTGGCGATAGTGACAATGATGCCACTGCGTTCAGCTGGTACAAACCTTGATGGAATGGCTGGTATCTCCATAGCCGCAAAGGAGATAACCCAAAAAGGTATAGCAGGGAAAACTATAATGATCTGCACAGATAACAGACAAGCGCTACTAACCTTAAATAGACCACGTGTCACAGTAGGGATAGTAATGGAGTGTCACAAGTCACTAACTCAAGCTTCGGATGGTAATACCATCATCCTGATGTGGGTTAAAGAAAACAATAGGAATAAAGGCAACCGCATTGTTGGCCAATTGACTAGGAAGGCGGCAGCCCTAAGACTCTTAGGATCTGGGGATCTTTTTGGTTGGTCAACTACAACAATCGCGAAAATTTTCAAATGTCACTCCCATATGCAAGCCGTAAAAAGATGGGAAGAAGGGCAAGAAAGCAAAACTTGTCAGGGTAACACTAAGTATCCTTGAAGAGTCAGCATCAAAGAAGTACTTAAGAATGACCAGGAAAAACCTACGCTTGACAGTTGGTTTTTTAACTGGTCATTGTCAACTAAGCAAATAACTCCACACACTGGGGATATCAGATACAGCTCTGTGTAGGAGGTGTGAACGAGAAGACGAAACTGTAGAGCATGTCCTATGTGACTGCCTGGAGTTATCGTTAATACGAGAGTACACGTTCAGCGAGCCCTGGCCCACACCTGCCCACATTAGAAAGATGTCTCCTAGTGACTTGTCCGCCTTCCTAAAAATGGCATGTTGGACAATGAGCTAAGGGCGACAGTGCTCTGGGAGGATGCACACTGCACAGTGGGTAAATTGTGGCCTAAGTGCTGTGAAACCCAATTCGCCCTCCCTACCGTATAGATATAGATACAGAATTATATATCAATTTCTTGATAATTTAATACTCTTCATTTTCTATGTATGGCATATATCAATTGTCACCTTGTTTGAGGAATCATTTAAAAAGCTGGCATTCGATTTTATTTATTCTGCCTGCTGCTTTAACTTCAACAAATGGTTGAGTTCTGACATCCGTACCATAAACAGATTTCTTAATATATATTTGTGGAGTCCAGTGTACAGTTTTTTGTGACTTTTTAATGAAATCTTTTAACATAGAACCAGCTTAAAGAAAAATCTGTATTTTTTATACAGATAAACATATTAATATATTTATTTGAAATGAGGTTGAATGCTCGAATAAATGAACTTTGAAAAATAAGGCTATTATCGAGCACAAGTTAATTAAATCTAGCCCAAGTACTTTCGCTTAAAATAGCATCTTCAGGGGCATTTCGTCAAAATTTTGACGAAATGCCCCTGAAGATGCTATTTTAAGCTATTTTAAGATTTAATTAACTTGTGCTCGATCATAGCCTTATTTCAAAGTTTATATTAATATATGTTTAAAAACTTCAAAAATACTTTTATTTTCCATTCTTTGATTGGCCTAAATTTTGGTACCGTTTGTATTGGCGAATGCCGTATAAGGAAATATTAAAAGCAAGTGAAGAAAACTATTTTAAAAGAACATAAAAAAACCTAGCAAAATATATACCAACCTAGAATAACTAATTACAGACAATAACATTTTAGTTTCAGGACTACATGGGTCGATAAGCTCGGCAAGTTTGTCTTTTGGAGGAAATTCTAGATCTACTTCCTCGCAAATCGATTCATCGTCTTCTTCGGTAGTGCACGACTCAACATCAAATATGCTCTCAATTTCAATATCTGGGCTAATTTTTTCTATTGGTCTTTCCTCTATTTCTTCAAAATTGGTATAATCTATTGATTCAAAAGTAAAACTAAGCGGTTTCTTCAACTTAGAAATATACCTGAAAACAAAATAACTTAATTTTATATGACAAAAACATAAACAGCAAATTATCACCTTAATTCAAGAATTTTATTAGGCATTAAAATATTTCGGATATAATTTATATATTACCCTAATTGGCACAATTCTAATTAGCAACAATTAACACTAGAACCGTTTTGTATGTATACCGGAAAATTTTTTTGTCATGTGATGAATAAAACTACTAACAGTTGAACAATCTTGCTGACAACTAGAATATAAATATTTTATTTATTCTGTTCTAGTCTAAAAATATGTAATGTATTAGTTTCTCGATACGTTTCTATGGGAGTTTTGTGTGATCAGCGACGACCACCGCGAATGGAAGATCCTCCTTGAGTATTTGTAGCACTGATACCCTCAGGAGAGCGGAAATACCATCCGTGAAATCAAAACTGATATCTGTCATCAGGTATTAAATGTATTTCCATCAAAATGGTGAAAACCAGTACAAGCTAAAGGGTCAAGACAGCAATAAGAATATATCACCGTGAGCGTAATAATAGAAAGTTGGCGACACATCATCAGTAGTGTATTTTTTCTCATTTTTATCTGCCATCTGTCAACGTCGATTTGTCTAACATCTGTCAATGTCAATTTGCCTTCATTTCGGCTGTCGAGTTTTCTTCTGTTTTGTCTATCAAGCCATCTGATAATTATTCTTTCCCGTCCATTACCTGTTCTTGTCTTTCGTTTGTCAAGTCGTCTGTCAATACTTTTGTACGGGTATGGGTATATAGTATGTATTAATAGCGATCATAGAATGGTACGAGATAAAATAGAAATAAGCTTAAAGAAGGAGAGGTAGAAGATGATTTGGAAGAAGAACAAATCAAAACCATGGATGAAACCATCAGATGTAGATAGTTTTCAGCAATGTATTTCCAACATACTTGGTAGTTCTGAACCAGAAAATAATATAAACGACTTAAATAATAAATTAATAAAGGCTATACTATAAAATCAAAACAAATTCTGTCCTAGAACTCAAAAAGAAGAGAAGATTAGCCACAATCCTAGAGAGAGAAGAGAAATGAAAAACGAAACGGAAACTAAAGCCGACGACCTACATAAATTAAATAAAGAAATATCCAAAGCTGTTAGACAAGACACTCGAAAATATAACCAAGAACAAATCGAACATACTATTGAGAACAATAAAAGTGTGAAAGTATTAAGAAAAAGACTCAGAACGGGGACAATGCAGACAATAAAGGTTAGAGATAGAAATGGTCATCTTACAACCAACAGAAAGGAAACCCTTAATATAGTTGAAGACTTCTACAAATTACTGTACACAAGCCAACATAAAGTAAATAGCAGATAAGATCAAGTACCAGAAATATTAACAAGAAAAAAGGGCATTGTCAACCAAGGACCAGAACTACTACCGGAAATCACAATGGACGAAATGAAAATAGGCCTAAGAAAAGCTAAGAATAACAAATCTTCAAGCAAAAATGATGTAGTCACTGATACAATCAAAATCGGAGGCACTTGCCTACTTAAGAAAATAAAAAACCTTTTTAACATGTGCATTATGGACAGCAATATACCCGACAAATGGCACAATGCTGAGATAATTCTATTGTACAAAAAAAGAGATCTCCATGAATTAGAAAACTACAGATCTATAAGTTTTCTTAGTCACCTATACAAACTCCTTACAAGAATAGTAACGAATCGTCTTGAGAAAAAACTTGATTTCTACCAGCCAATAGAGCAAGCGGAATTTCGTACCGGATTTGGAACAAATGATCACTTACAGAGCATTAAAACGGTAATAGAAAAGACTATCGAATACATTCGACCACTCGTTCTGACTTTTCTAGATTTCAATAAAGCCTTTGACACGGTAGAATTTAACAAAATCCTGAAAGCACTACAAGCATGCCACATTGACTACCGATATACAAGGTTAATTTACAATACATACAAGAACGCAACTATGTCCGTGAAACTACATGAAAACACGGATCACATCAAAATCGGCAGAGGAGTCTGACAGGGTGTTACCTTATCGCCTAAACTGTTTACCGCAGTAATAGAATATGCTTGTAAAAAATTTAACTGGGAAGAGAAAGGCCTGAACATTGACGGTAGAAGATTAACAAATTTGAAATTCGTAGACGACATAGTTTTGTTCTGGGACAACCTCAAGGAGATATGTACAATGCTACATGAACTTCAGTTAGTGTATGCCAGTGTGGGTCTTAAAATAAACATCTCAAAACTAAAATTCATGACAAACGTAGTACCTAGCGAAAATATCAATATTGGAGACAACGAAGTAGAGCTGGTGGAAAAATACATATGTCTTGGACACGAAATAAAGATCACAAGAGACAACCAAACATACGAACTACGAAGAAGAATACACCTAGCATGGGCAGCCTATGGAAAACTCAAAGACATCTTTAAAAGCTATATACCAATTTCTTTACAGGCTCTGTCTTCCTAGATATAAGCAAAGCTTTCGACAGAGTCTGGCATAAAGGACTGATCGACAAAATGAGAAGATACGGATTCAGAGTTTGGATAGGACAAGTCCTGTTCGAACTCGGAAACCCGGAGACTGCAGTGCTACAGGTAGCGGTACTGTCACCTTTACTGTACACGATGTACACAGTAGACATACCTAGAACACCAGGTACACTACTAAGCCTCTATGCCGACGACACAGCGATAGCGGCCAAACACAGAAATGTAGACATAGCGCTAAACAACCTACAAACAGCGCTAGATAACATAGAAGAATGGAGTTTAAAATGGAAAATCGCTATAAATTTCGAAAAGACACAGGCTGTAATTTTTAAAAAGGGGCACCAAGAACCAAAAGAAGAGGTAACTGTGCAAGACAATCCCATCGAGTGGAAAAGCGAAGCAAAATACCTCGGAGCAATCATGGACAAAGGCTTAACGTTTAGCAAACATGTAGAAGCTACAGTACAAAAAGCCAACATGGCAAGTGCATTAATAAGAGGCCTAGCAGGAAGAAAAAGCAAACTTAGACTGAAAACAAAAATAAGATTAATAAAAAGTATAATTCTTTCTAAACTAACATATGCATCTCTCGTATGGGGACACATATGCAATACATCAAAAAAGAAAATACAAGCGGCACATAACAATAACCTGAGAGAAGCAGTCAACGTACTGAGATACGTACCAGAAAGATTCCTCTTTGGAGAACTACAACAAATCAGAGTGACTGACACAATGAAAGAAAAAGCTAGGAAAAAGTTCGCGGGGATAGAGAACCAACCCAGTCATATATTGTGAGGGATAATGAGGTACGACGCTTACCACGGATGGAAGCACAAAAGACCCAAACCACAAATGGAAGAATAAATCATAATACTAGAGAGACAATCAAAAATCACACCAGAGAGAAAACATTTCAAAAAACAACAACGCACAATGAAGATAGTTCGTAGCTCATAACACTCGTGGACAATCGCAACGTACAGCGTGGATACAGTTAATTTTAAGTAGATAATTATTATATTATTATGCACTAACTCTGATTTTATGTTTCAGGCATCCTACAAAAAAAATTCAAAAAACACGCAAAAAACGGCTTCGGCACCAAAAAATCAAAAAACTACGAACAAAAACCGGTGCAAGCCACAAAAAAATATTAACAAAAACTCAAAAAACTTGGGCACGTAGGGCCCAACCCCTTGAGCACCAAGTCGTCGAATTAAGGCTAGCTCAGAGCCGTATTACCCAATTCCAGTAGGAGCCTACGCAGATATCCATTGAATTCTGGCAGGCAACGGTGAAAAAATCTTTTTTCGACATCTAATACTAGAGACTCTACTAGAGATACTAGACCAGAAGACCCCAGGGTAATGCCGGATTAACTGTGTTTCGGCTAAAACATTAACCACCGTTCAAGAGAGTTGGTCTTGCCATTTAATGAACAACTAAAATAAAAAACTCAAAACTTATAAATAACCATACCTATCACAGAAAATCAGAAAATATTTCAGCCGTTATTAGTTATTATATTATTCAGCCGATTTTTAAATAACAGATCTTTTCAAGTAAAAATAAATAATATCTCTTCAAATATTTATAGTTTGGAAAATGGTACACTCCAAGGATCCATACTCAGTCCAACACTATTTCAGGTAGCAATAAACGACATCATTAAAAACATTCAAGCACCCTTACAGGCTCGTTTATACGCTGATGACCTAGTGGTATCTATTAAAGGTAAAAATATTTCCTCAGTGTCATTAATTCTTCAAAACTTTTTAGATACTCTCGAAAATTGGTCCAAATTTACAGGTTTTCAATTTTCAATAAAAAAATCAATAGGAGTCGTATTCTCTTCAAGCTCCTTGCCACAACCTCCTAACCTAAGAATGTATGAGAAACAGCTGGAGTTTAGAGATCACCACAAATTCTTGGGTTTAATCTTCGATTCAAAGTTAACATGGAAAAATCACATCTCACAACTCATCCTTTCCTGTAATAAAAGATTAAACGTATTAAGATCTCTCTGTAATAAAAACTGGGGCTCAGACCAATCCACTCTACTCCTTATGTATAAATCTTTAATACGTTCTAAACTAGATTATGCAGCAATTGCCTATTCCACTGCTAATAAATCTCTACTGAAATCATTAGATATTATTCATAATAAAAGTCTTAGACTAATCTTAGGGGCATTCCCAACTACACCTGTATCCAGCATTTATGCTCTTTTAGGAGAACCATCGCTACATCACTGCCGCATGTACCTCACTCTATCACATGCAGCCTCAGTCGCTGGAAATATTTCAAAGCCTATATATCAAAATACTTTTACAAATAAATATGTAAACTCATTCCAAGATATTCACTATACTAAAAAACCCCATTACGAAAGAATTAAATCCATTCTTCAAAACCTAAACATTAATTTTCCGGAGGTTTTCTGCTCAGATATTAAATACCCCGAGCCTTGGCTGATCGATATACCAACTTGTGATGCATCTCTAGAGTATATAGATAAATCTAATACACATCATTCTCTGATTCGGTCCAAGTTTAAGGCCCTCATAAATAAGTACCCCGACTACCATAAAATCTACACAGATGCATCTAAATCCGAAGACGGAGTGGGGGCATCAATCGTTTCTTCAGAAAACAATCTTCTTTTCCGTTTACCCTCAGCATGCAGCACATAGTCAGCTGAACTCTACGCCATACACCGTGCTGTGAAACTTCTTAACGAGCTTACACTCACAAAAGCCCTTATCATAACAGATTCCCTTAGCTCTCTAAACTCATTAAAACACATTTTTCCGAAACATCCTTTTGAAAAGTTGCTAAAATACCAGCTTTCCTAAGCTCATAAACATGGAAGAAGCGTCCAATTTTTATGGGTTCCCTCACACGTTGGAATAACAGGAAATGAAGAAGCTGACAGGATTGCACGAGAGGCTATTTTAAGTGATTTGTCGGAGCCGATAGACAAGTGTGTTTCCAGTGACTTAAAAGCTTATTTTAAAAATAAAGTGTTGTGTTTGTGGCGAAATGAGTGGTTTCGAACTAATTCCAATCTAAATAAAATTAAAAATAATGTGTCTCAGTGGCTTCCATCGTCGCGCAATAGACGGGAACAAATTGCGGTTGCGCGTTTACGTCTAGGACATACCTGATTAACGCACTCCTACCTTTTCACAAAGAATAATCCACCTATATGTGATCAGTGTAACGTCCGATTAACAGTCGAATACTTTTTAATAATTTGTAGTAAATATGACCAAGAAAGACAGCGCTACAAGATCCCAAACGCTCTACCACAGGCTCTAGGTCAAAACTGTTCCTATGAAAATATAGTGAATTATCTCAGATCCATAAACATTTTGTACAATCTGTAGGTGTCTAATTCTGTTATTTATACTTTGTTCCGTCGCTAATAACTTTTGGTGGATGCGACATCTTTTTCTAATTAAAAAAAAATTATTCAGCCGAAATTAACTTACAGATTTGTTGTTAATGAAGACGAAGTCGTAAATTATCCAAAAGAATTTTTAAATTTTCTGGATATACCGAGGATGGCATCACGAATTTCATAATATTTACTTAACTCTGTTAAATAAATTAAACATAATATTAGCCGTATAATAACCAAACAACAGCAAAGGGTAGTAGGGCCAGCTAGTATTTTTATAAAATGATGTTATTACACAATCTATTTTAAAATTATTACTGTTTCATATTTTGGAAACAAGATATTCAATGAATTAAACAAATATGTGTTAATATTGAAATGAATTGTTAATTTGATGTAGTTTTACGTTTAATAACACATTTAATAAAACAAACCCTATAGGCGATTGTTAAAATAGTTCCGAATTGTTATAAATATCTACAGGTTACTATTAAAAGGTAAATGTATACAAATAAAATAATAATTTTTAAGTTTGGTGGTTGTATTGAAAGGAAAAAATACTTTACATATTGATTTTAGCCCTATATTTAGAAAACTCACCTAGTTTCTCTATTAATCTCCTCAAATCGATCGTTGCTCTCGTCAACCATAATTTCGTAAAAATACCATCCAAACTCAGTGTCATTGTCTTCAACATAACTACCGTCACTTTTGTATATTCTCATACTTGGTGATTCACTAACGTAATAAGTTTCAGATATCACTCCTATAATGACTTAACTAGGATTAAAAGCTCGGCCTAGTGGTCAGGGTAAAAAACAAGGGAGGGTCGCTTTGCAGATCATTGGCTGCTCCCAAGAACAATTTATGGGGTTAAACGATCTATCTAGTGACTATTAATATACTGTCGAATAGTATTTTTTATTTTTTCATTGTTGAAATATATTAATAGGCTTATTTCGATACTGTTTCAGATCAAAATTAAAATGATTCCAACAATTTTTTTAAACTTAAAAGCTCTTCTATTTATTGCTAAGCAGAATTTTTATAATGATTTTAAGACCTGATATTAACCAAAAATAAACTGTTTTTTTACAATTTAAAAAAGCAATTAAACTAATCACTTTAAAACATTGGATATTTTAGATCAAATGGCCCTTAAGACAAAATACACACATTAGAAAACCAGTCTTTTTTGTTCTATATATGTTCGTATAAAGATGTGAGGATCACAGACTCATTAGCGTGATGAGTTACACTTTAAAGATATTCTTAAAAATACTACATCAAAGATTATACAAAAAATGTGAATGGGACATCACTGACTCCCAGTTCGGGTTTAGGCAAGGTTTAGGAACACGAGAAGCAATAGTAGCAACACAGGTGCTGGTCCAAAATTGTAACGATCAGAAGAAGGATGTGTTCCTATGCTTTTTGGATTACCAAAAAGCGTTTCATCGTGTCCAACACCATAAGTTAATGCAGATCCTCAAGAAAGTTGATATAGACCAAAACGACATAAGATGCATTGAAAACTTGTACTGGCATTAAAGGGCACAGTTAAAAATACACAGTTCTATATCCAAACCTATACATATAAGAAGGGGCGTTCGATAGGGATTTGTGCTTTCTCCTCTTTTATTTAACATTTATTCGGAAGCCATATTTCAAGAGTCTTTGGAGGATGCAAAGATGGGAATCAAAGTGAATGGAGTATTGATCAACAACATACAATATGTTGATGATGGTGTCTTAATTTGTGACAACATAGTCGATCTTCAACAACTTGTCACTATAATCGGAGAATACAGTAAGCGAATGGGATTAGAGATTAATACCAAAAAAACCAAATTTATGATCATCTCCAGAAACTTGGATGCACTTGAAAACTCCACCATAACACTGAATACTAAGTCCATTGAAAGAGTGAGTAAATTTAAATCCCTGGGATCGTGGCTTTTTAAAGAATGGGCATCGCACATGGAAGTAAAATGTCGCATTGAGCAAGCTCGACAAGCTTTCGTAAAATTTAAGAAGGTACTGACTTGTTCAGAGTTCGATCTTCAACTGAGACTAAGGTTTACTAAGTGCTACGTGTGGTCAGTGCTAATATATGGCGTAGAGGGCTGGACACTCAAAACGAGGGATATAAATAGATTAGAAGCTTTCGAAATGTGGCTCTATCGCCGTATCCTAAAAATACCATGGACAGCAAAAATCACAAATATAGATGTCCTTAAAAGAATAAACTAAGAACGCCAACTTTTCGAAATCATCAAGAAAAGGAAAACGGCGTATCTAGGTCACATCATGCGAAATGAAAAATACCAGTTCCTCCAACTTATAATCAAGGGTAAAATTGAAGGCAAGAGAGGAATGGGACGCAAGAAAATGTCCTGGCTCCGAAACATAAGGCAATGGACAGGGATTAACGACATAAAATATCTGATACATATTGCAAGAAATAGAGAATTAATGGAAAATGTGATCGCTAACATCCATTAGTGGATTTGCATCTGAAGAAGAAGATATGTTCGTATGTCTGTTTCTATTAATATTCTTTGCTTTATTTCGTCATTACTTCTCCAATCCATTCTTGTTACTCTGCAGCTTCTTCACAGGCATTCCATCTCTGTTGCTACTATCTTACGTATAGTACGTACATATTACATATTATCATATGTCATAATATTTCGCACTACTGTTTTATAAATCTGTGTTTTTGTCTTCATATTTAGGTGTCTATCCCACCATACTGAGTTAAGTTGTCGGATTGCTGTTCTTATTTATCCTAATCTTTGCGTAATTTATTACTCTGTTGTTGCCTTTTTCGTGAGTATAAATCCCAAGTATTTGAATTTATCCTTTTCTTTGATTGTTACGTCACCGAACAACCCGAAGGTGCACTTGACTCGGCGGGAATTGTTCACGCAACTGGAATGCGCATTGTCAGCGGCCATATTTTAAGTTAACACTCACGTCGTTGACACGATCATTTTGAGGTTGTTGTTGTCAGATCATATTTGTTTCGATAATAATTTGATTTTGTGCAATCGTAAATATGGATATACTGAATAAAAATAAAAGCAGATCAAGATGTGCGGCAGTGAACTGTAAAAACAGTTATGCAAATTGGACTTACGGGTTTTACCATTTTTCATCAGATGAATCAAGGTAAGCATTTTTAAATTCATAATATTTTTTATAAACTTTGACTATATGCATACCTTATAGGATACTTGAAGAGTTCGTTGTAACTATAAAACTTTATTAAATGTGTGATGTCAATATATATATTTTTTTAATCTGTAATTAATAATGTAACGTTATTTGCTCAATCATGTTTAAAAATTTATGCAAATAAAATTTTACTCTACTACTCTACTACAAAATGATTTTTTATCGTATTTCGCGATTTATTCGATTAACTTTATTTTATGTGTGTACAACGATGTTACAGCCGAATCTTCAATCAACATTTATTTCCTATTATTTTCCTCTCCATTCACTTATTTAGAAAAATCAAGACCGGTGCTGCAGGATCTATTTAGTCAAAGCCGGACCTGACTACTTTTAGATTTTAAAATGGCGCAAGGTCACCGAATTTGTCTGACAGCTACCAATGTAAATTTATTGGAGTGCACCTTCGGGTTGTTCGGTGGTTACGGTGTCATTAATCAGTAGATCTTCTATGTTTTCTTCACTTGTAGATAGATACTCTGTTAACGCGAGTTTAATATCTAGTTCAGCCTTGGTATATTCTTTTTGTAGTTTCTTCATCATGTAGCTGAGGTCGTTTACTTGATCGTCTCCAAAGCTTAACGTATATAGGTATTCGTTCCGTACCGGTACTCTCATGCCTTTGCATTTTATTTTCTATGTAGTCAAGGCTTTCTCTAAGTATATTTTGAATAGGGTTGGAGATGTGGAACAACCCTGCAGGAGCCCTTTTGTTGTAGTAGAGTCTCCTATGATTCTTGTTTTCACTTTATTTTCTTTATACAGAGCTTTTGTAGCTTCTGTCAGTTCCATCTGTATTTCTAATTTGTACATTGCCTCCCATGGTTCTGACCTTGGTACAGAAACATACGCCTTTCTCAGGTCCACAAATACCTAATGTATATCTCTATTTTTTGCTTTTTTCTCTTCCAACAGTTGTTCCAGTGTGTATATGTGGTCCATGCATGATCTTCCTGCCGTGAAGCCTCCCTGATTCTCCCCGATTTTGCCTTTTATCCCTTGCTCTATTTCTATTGATAATATTACGCTTATTCCTCTGTAGTTTTCGCATCGTTTTCTATCTCCTTTCTTAAATATAGGTGTCATGTATGCCTCCGTCCATTCCTTTGGGAGCTCTTTTCCATTTATGGCTTTCTGAAATATCCATTGGATCATCCGGTGTAATTTTTTTGAGCCATATTTTATAAGCTTAGGTGAGATGTCTTTAGGTCCCCGTGCTTTTTTATTTTTGATTGCTTTTATGACCGTTCTCATTTCCCTATCTGTTATTTTTATTTCTTGTTGTGGGGATCTGCTTTGTCTTCGTCTATTTTCTTTTTTAATGAATTGTGGTCCTTGTTCTGTTAACAGTTCCTTGTAATAGTCCTTCCATTCTTTATCCTGTATATTTCCCAAATTTAATTTTTTCTTTGAGTTTTGTTTCAATCCTCTCAGTACTTTCCATGACTCCGAAGTTCTTGTACCTTCTATGTATGTATCAATATTTAAGCAGGTTCTTTCCCATTCTTTAGTTTTTTGTTTTTTAACTTCTTTATCTTTTTCCCTATAATCTTTAAAAATTTTTTCTTTATAAAGAATATAGTTGCTATAGTTGCTTTATTTCTTCAAATATTCTTTTTGTGGGTTCATTTATTTCATAATAGTGCTGTTTATTTGTTATATGTCCTTTTTCTCCAAGAGCTTCAACTTTATGCTCGTCTTTATATGCTCGTAAATTTCTTTGATGTTGCTGTATCTAAATTCTATTAATTTTTGGTCTAGACGTTGTTGGTATAGTTCTGTTATCATTCGTCTTGGAGTAGTTTTATATTGTACTGTTTTTCTCTTATAGTGTTCAACGGTTCTTCTGTAAAGGGGGTCTTATTATGTTTTCAATTATTGCCCATTTTTGCTGTCAGTAGTTTATGGTCCGTTCCACACTCTGCTCCGCTTCTGACTCGCACATCTTGGATCTTTATTGTGGTATCTTGTTTGATTATTATGTTGTCTATTATCGATTTCAGCTTTCGTGTTTCTTGAGTCCATGTATATTTATAAATATTTTTATATCTGAAGAATCCGTTGGTAATTTTTATGTTTCTTTAGTTCGTATAATTCAATCAGACATTCTCCGTTATCGTTTTGTTCTTATTTTGTTTTTTGGTCTTATGTTTGTAATAAAATTGATTTTTTTGTAGTTAATTAAAATTTAAAAGTTACTTTTAATTAGGATTAAACACATTTTTATGCAAGCGTTTTAAAAATGTGTGGTTTGACCCGCTCCTTAAACATTTTTAAAAAATGACCTATTCGCTCCGTGCGTGACTGACACGACACCTACCGCCTTTATCTGACAATTTTGGAGTCCCAATTTTCAGGTTAAACATATGACATATGTTTGACATTGTTAAATACATGCGAAATTGACAATTATTAATAAATTAGTTTTTTAACTATATTTTTTCAGTTTATGTACAAAATAAATGTAGTATTAAAAACTTTCTCA